GAAGAGTTCCGTCTACAATTTTCTCCACATGTTTTATAGAAACTTGCTTGATATTAGGTCTCTTCTTTCTTCCTTTTTCTTTTTTTTTTTTGCAATGGGAGAGGGATTTGGGCAAAACCGAGTAGTGCTAAGGCTCTGTGACTGGGTGATTCCTGGCAGTGTCTGAGGAACGAGACACAGTGCCCGGGGACTGACCCAGAGTAAGCTCCATGCAAGGCAAGTCTCTTCATTCCTGTGCTCCCTCCAGCTCCCAATACCAAGGGCTTTGAGTTCATCTCCATGTACACTGCAGACAGGGTTTTCACTGCATTTTTCTGCATGTCTGTGTCCACTTTCCCAGCACCATCTGTTGAGGGGCTCGCCTTTCACCTCTTCATGCACCTCAATGCCCCTCTGTCACAAATTAACTGCCCAGATAGCTGAGGGTTTGTCTCTGGTTCCCTAGTTCTAACCCATTCACCTGAAAGTCTGTCTCTTCATTCCAGCTCCATGCAGTTTTGATCTCTATAGCTCTGTACTAAAGATCAAGGCTGGAGAATGCAATGCCTCCATCTTCTTTTAAGGATTGCTTGTACTATTGAGAGTTTTATAGTTTCATTTAAATTTTAAAAGTATTTTTTGGGACTTGAGCGGGTCTAGTAACGTCTCCTTTGTGACAATTGTTACTGTGTTTGGCATATCGAATATGTCACGGGTAGCTTGCCAGGCTTTGCCATGCGGGTGGAATACTCTCGGTAGCTTGCTGGGCTCTCCGAGGGGGCAGAGGAATCGAATTCGGGTCAGCCATGTTGGCCGCTTGCAAGGCAAATGCCCTACCCACTGTGCTATCGCTCCAGCCCCTTACAAGCGGCCAACATGGCCTACCTGAGTTCGATTCCTCCGCCCCTCTCGGAGAGCCCGGCAAGCTACCGAGAGTATCTCGCTCGCACGGCAGAGCCTGGCAAGCTACCCTTGACGTATTCGATATGCCAGACACAGTAACAACAAAGTCTCCAATGAAGACGTTACTGGGCCCGCTCGAGCAAATCGATGATCAACGGGAGGACAGTGACCGTGACCGTTTTCAGGACTGGAGTGATAGCACAGTGGGTAGGGCATTTGCCTTTCACGTGGCCGACCTGGGTTCAATTCCCAGCATCCTATATGGTCCCCTGAGCACCGCCAGGAGTGATTCCTGAGTGCATGAGCCAGAAGTAACCCCTGTGCATCACTGGGTGTGACCCAAAAAGCAAAGAAAAATAAAGTATTTGTTCTCTATCACTGAAAAATGCCATGGGAAGTTTTACAGAAACTATGTTGTGGATTACTAGGCAGCTGTTGATAACTTGGGGTAAAGTGATGATTTTAACCATGTTGATCTTTTCCATCCATGAACAAGATACATGCTTCTATTTCTTGTGTCTTCTTTCTTTCAGAAGTGATTTACTTGTTTTTACTAAGTCTTCCACCTTCCTTGTTAAACTGACCCCTAGAGTTCTCTGACAGTCATAAATGAAACGGCTTTTTAAAAATTGTTCTCTTGTACACAGTTTATTTATAATGTCACACCAGATTTCTGGGCACTGGATTTGCAGCCGGCTACTGTACGGGTTTATTGTTCTCAGCTTTTAGTGGAGCCTTCAGTAGGGCTTGCAGTGTTATAATGTCGTGCCATTGACAAATATGTTGTTTGCATGGTATAACCCCAAACCCCATCTGCTCAGTGGGGCACAGCTCTCCTCCCCAGGTCCAAGGTCGGGGGGCATGGCCGTCTCCTCCCAGTCCCAGCTCCCAGCCGGCTGTGCAGCCTCCTCTGTTGCCAAAATCAACAGCAGAGACGGTGCTCAGCCAGGCAGCTCTGGCCCTCACCATGCTGCTTCTCAGGGCAGCATCCACCTGACCCCCACCTGGCTGAGTCGGGTGCCCAGGAGGCCGGGCTGTCATCTTCACCCCTGCCCTCATGGGTGTGTCCACCCCCTCTCCTGTGAAGTGCAGCTCCTCCAGATGTCTGGGGCTCTTTTCAGCACCCGTTCTTCACTTCATGAATCATTTAGTTGAACACGCTGGGAGGTGGGGCTGGAGCGCTAGGGCAGTAGGTAAGGTGGTTGCCCTGCACACTGCCGACTCAGCTCAATCTCCAGCACCAGAGAGTCCCCTGGACACTGCAGGAGTGATCCCTGAGCAAAGAGCCAGGAGGAAGCACTGAGCACAGCTGGGTGTGGCCCAAACCAAACCAAACGTGCAGGGAGAAGAGTCCAGATCTTTTCTCTCTCTGCCATCTCTGCTACGATCCTAGGAGATACTTGTCTTCAATGCTGGGAGCCCAACCAGGGCCTCACGAGGCAAATACTCTAATACTGAGCCTTGCCCCAATATTGAAACTGTTAGATGTGCCAGGCACATGATCCAAACATTCCACTTCTCAGGATCAGCCAAATGCCCAAGAGAGCACTGACAAAGTCACCCGCTACAGTACTTGGTCACAGTGAGACACCAGCACAGGCCACTGGGACGCGTGGTCTGGGGTTTAACCCCTAGCACTGTCCCCATCACTAGGAGTGACCTACAAAACCCGGGGGCAACCCCAAGCATGATCACATAAGCAATGAGACCAACAGATAAAAACGACTCTGTACAAAAGTTAACCTGGAAAGGTAAACTGATATCACTCTCCTGTCCACCAATGAGGGAATAAATGAACCACAGAAATACCTGTATTACAAAATTCTATGCCATAACTAAAGAAACACAGTAGGTACCCTATGGGATCATAGAGGCAAATTTCTCAGACATATTTTGTTTCTTTTGCTTTCTTTTCTTTTCTTGTAAGGGGAGTGAGCACCCCCACCCGTGCTCAGGGATTCCGTATGGCTATACTCGGGATCAGAACCAGATGTGGCAAGTGTCTTAACCCCAGCACTAGTTCTCCATGTCCAAACATTTTAAAAGAAAAAGGCAGTTTTTACAATGAAACATGCATTGAGATAAAAAGATATATAGCGCATTATAATGTTTTATATATAATATAAATGCTGCAAAAGAGTTAAGACGGTTACACACCAAGTATGTAACTATGGTTAACTCTGGAGAGAACTAGAAGTGGAACTGCAACTTATCTGCAATATTTCCAATGTAATATGAACATGTTTATTCAGAATGTGTACCTAAAGTTAAAAGAAACAGGACAAGAGGCCAGTAACACGAGACAGCTGGCAGACCCACACCTGGCAGCTGTGAAGCCCTCAGGTTGCTCTCCAGCACTGCTTAGCCACCATGAGCAGCTGGGTATGACTTTGCCCTGAGTACCACCAGCAACAGCCGCAAATCAAAACTGAAAAAAAGTGGTGAGGTCTGGAGAGAAAGTACAATGGGTATGTCAGTCTGAATTCGATCCTGGTACCATATATGGTCCCCTGAGGAGCTCCAGGACTGATCCCTGAGTACAGAGCTAGGAGAGAGCCAAGAGGACCAAAGCAAAACAAAAGAGAAAGAAAGAAAGAAAGAAAGAAAGGGATAATAAAGAAGAAAAAAGGGTTAAAAAGGGTTAAAAAGGGTTAAAAAAAAAGGTTAAAAACAAATACATAAAGTTGCATGTGCAAAAACATCCACTATGGAATTACAGATAACAGTGAAAAACAGGCCAATTTAAATAGACACTAGTCATAGATTGGTTAAACTATTAAACACTGGTATAGAGGCATGTAAGTCACAGCAGTTTATAGTTAGGTACACATAAGTTGGCTATAGAGACATCACAATGCAGTAAGATTCCTGATCAGTGTAAGTTTCCAGAAACACTGCTTTTTTATACCCTGCACATGTGTATGTGTGTGCACATGCATTGAAACTTTTTTTTTGATACACATATACTCTAACAGAGTTAAGCATCCATACATTTTTTTCATATATTTCTATATTGTCTGGTTTCTGTTTACAATGACCATGCATTCTTTTTAGCTTGCTCGCTTGTTTTTTCAGCCATACCAGCAGTGCTTGGGGGCCACGCCAGGCAGTGCTTAGAAGAGCATGTGATGCCAAGGACAAAATGGGGCCTCCTGCATGCAACACATGTGCAGCCACCAGGAAAAACGAAGTCATGACATTTTCTTATAAACAGATGGAGAGTATCATGCTGAGTAAAATGAGTCTGAAGGAGAGGGACACACATAGAATGACCGCACTTATTTGTGGGATGTAAAAAGCATAGTAAGAGATTAATACCCAAGGACAGTAGAAACAAGGCCAGGAGGTCTGGCCCACAGATGGAAGCTCGCTACAGGTGCTGGACGGGGGAAGGGCACCGAGGACAGAGAAGTCCACTCTCACAGTGATCGCTGGAAATGATCATGCTGGACAAGAAGCGAGTGTGGGAAGGATGTAAAGGGATAAACACAACAACAATAACCTATAAGTACCTGTATTGCAAACCATAATGCCCAGAGGAAAGAGAGAGGGAGTGAGAGAGAAAGACAGACAGACAGACAGACAGACAGACAAGAAAAGTGCCTGCCACAGAGGCAGGCTGGGGGGCGGGAGGTGTAGGGCGGGAGGGAAACGGAGGACACTGGTGGTGGGAAATGTACACTGTGAAGGGTCAGGTGTTGGAACACTATATATGATTGAAACCCAACAGTGAACAACCTTGTAACTGTGAATCTCAGAGTGATTCACTTAATTAAAAAAAAAAAAAGTGCTGTCTGTCTCCAACCATGTATTTTTAACATATTCAGAATGAGGTTTAAATTATTTCACTTTTCTTCTGTTTCTGCAAGTGTGAGACATTCTGAAGTCTGGCTTCTACCACCGTCAGGCACGAGGCAGGCCGCGGGAATGAGAGCCCAACAGGCCTCAGCCTCACAGTGGGCCTCTGTCACCTCCTCCTTCCCGGGTCCTGCAATGCCCACCCACTACCTGCTTCCCCAAACCACACAAAACCTACACAAGGCTCCCTGGGAACACTCGTATCCTCTGGGATTCCCCCCAGTGTTTCCCGATCTGAATGTTCGCGGCAATGCACAAACCTTTCTCAAGGCCTCCATGTAGGCGGCGGCTTTTCTCTTGTACTGGAGCATGCACTGGGCTGAGAGGGGGCTGATGAACCCGCTGGCTGCCTTGGGCCCGTAGCTGAGCGAAGCAGCGAAGTGGTCCACATTGTTGCTGAAGAAAGAGGCCATCTAAACAGTGTGACAAGAAGACAGAGTTTTCTTTCCAATAGCATCTCTAGCTAAGAGATCCTGGAGCAGAGTCAAAGATGCTGGGGATGAAAATGAAATTTTAATACCTGACCCAAGCCCATTTACTTACTTGAAGAAAATATCTAGGCAATTACGATTTATTACGAAAAGAGAATACCTGCAGAGTGCTAAGGCCAGGCTTCTGACACGCTTTAATCGAGACGATTTCTGTTCTTTCTAAAAGCAAAGACTGATTCTGATTTACTGCAGATGTTTGTGAGCTGTTTACCTCATTAATTTCTTCCACTGATTTTAAAATATCCAGTTTAGTTTATATATTCTATTTGCATTTTAGTTTTGAATATTTCATGCTCCAACACAAGACATGACAAACATCTTAAACGTTTTCTCTCTTTAAATGCTGTCAATCTTAATTTGTGAATTACAAATGTAATAGACAAGACTAAAAATTCAGTAAATGCTTGTTATTTATAGATTTAACATTTGCTAAAAATGTTTACCATTTTAAGCAAATGTTAAATCTATAAACGCAATAACAAAGATCTATGACAGTAATTTTACTGAGCCATGAATTTAATTCTACAGTGTTGTATGAAATGTGATAAAAATGTCCGAGGGGTCAGAAAGAAAATAGACAGGTAAAGCATCTGCCTTGCGTAAACCAAACTGGGTTTGATTCCTGGCACCCCAGCGTCCCTCAAGCCATGCCAAGAATGACCCCTGGCCAAAAAAAAAGCACATAAATGCAATTTAAAGTGGCTAAGAAAGCATTTAGCCTTGAATGTGGGACAGAAAATCCCATTTTAATAAATAAGAAAAAAACAACCCATGAAGCAACGTACCCTACCTTGACAAAAATTGCACAAAAAATAAAATAATTAGGGCCAGAGCATTAGTATGGTGGGTAGGGCAAATGCCTTGTACACGGCTGACCCAAATTCGATCCCTGGCATATGGTCCTCTGAGCACCGCCAGGAGTGATCCTGAATGCAGTGTCAGGTATGGCCAACACCACCATCCCAAATAAAGCAATTAGTCACTAAAGTCTAAAAACAATCTTATTTTTAATTAATGACTGTCAAAATAAAATTATTATATATCATTCAAGAAAATTCAGCTCCTAACAATTTAGTACTTATTCTTTGTGACTGACATGAATAAACATTAAGTGTTTATATTTAAATCATGGTAGATTACAGGGAGATTTATTTTGTTTTCTCTTTCTAATATTTCTATATTTCCCAAACATTCCTTAATACATACAAATGATACTTCCCCATTGAGGCTTTTAAAATTACACTATAAATTTTAGATTAACCAAATGACATTAATCATCAAACTGCCACCAATACAAATTCACATTTATTTTAAAAACCATTTATAAAAATTTCAAAGTTAAAAAAAAATCAAAATCACCCTTCCTTGAGATTATACTTTAATGTTTAGGGCTTAGGGCAAAGAAACTCTAAAACAGCTATGAAGTATCTAGGTGCTTATTATTTCAGAAATCTCATGAAAAGCCACAGATGTAGATATACCTACAATCTCTCTTTCTTTTATCAACATTCAGTAGAGAACACCAAAATTCTATTTCTTTTTCTACAGTAACTTTTCTTAATTGACTCAAATGAAACTTGGCCCTGAGAAAGCTTGGAGCACTCCATAGACGGAAGCATCAGGAGGAGCGATGCAGATGGACTTTAGGCTCAGGAATGCCACAGGACCATCAGAAATAGATGGATTTTAAAGAAACTGCACTTGGGTTGATTTCTAATAATAATTTCTTAGTGTTTCAAAATGTCATTATCTAATAGGAAGGGTTCAATGAGATATAATGAAAGACATATGCTGAAGTCACCTTAAAGTTACTTGCTACTTGCTAAAACTCAAAAACGCAAAACAAACAAGCGAGTCACACCTCGACTTGGTAGAAACGATAGCAATTTCGCAGGTGGAAAGAGTGGTCTTGGGTGGGAGAGCAATGGAACGTGGCTGTCACTGGTGGGAGAGCACTGGAATGTTGCGTTGGGAATGACAGGTGCTACATACACAGAACTGTGTGTATGTAATACATAGAAACGTGAAGCTAAGCCCCTCGAATTTCTGAATATTGCAAAGTGTGATTAGTCAGTCTTCAAAAAGAAAAGAAAACCATACTAAATACGTAAAACGACAGGAGCGGCATTACAAGGCCAGATCCATAGGGTTAAGACACCTGCCATGCACATGGCTAACAGACGCTGTAGCCACTTATGGTGCCCAACACACCGCTGGGAATGATCCCGGAGCACTGCCAGCTGCCGTCCAAACTACCCACTTCCACCAGGGGGAAAAAAACAAACAATGAGAGAAAAATATTAATAGAGATGCTATTACAGGTATGTATATCCCTAATTTCTACGTAAGCAGATCACATATACAAGGATCGACAGATAATTTAGGCGCTACAGATCACCAAATCACAAATGCAAACCACGATCATACTGTTTTCATTACTGGATAGGGAGGAAAAAAAGGGAAACAATTTTATTATAGAAAAGAGCTCGATATTCTACAATAATTTTATAGTTCAATCTTCCTATGTTGCCCGTGATTTAAAATAAAAAGAGAGAAGCACATTTAAGAACTGAATTGCTTAATGTTGGCAGAAAGCAGAGACGAGTTACCTTGCCTGCTGCATTTGATAACGCTAGTACTGACGACAGGATACAGTCATTAGTCGTTATGAGTTTCTGTGTCGCTGTGGGAAGTTCATGCTCAATGGTTGCTTTTTGACTATAATGTTTGGAAATATCTATAAAAGCAATCAAATATAAAGTAATTACTGTCTACATACAACTTGCACATAGATAACCAGCCTATTAACATCTGACAGGTACTCTTGGAAATTTACAAAGTAAATCTAACCAAAAAAAAAAAAAAAGAACCCCAAGTATCAAGCCTATGCTGAGATTCATTTAGGTCACAAAGTTGCGTGGAAAGAAGACTGGTGTCTGTCCAGCAGACTGTGGGGTTGATTCTCCTTTGCCTATTTTATTTGTAGTAGAGAATGTAAGCCCCTACTCCAGAGTTGGTTTAATCCTCCTGACTGGTACTGACCAGCCGGAAAGCCAGGCTTGGTAGTCTGGCAGGCATAAACAAGAATGTGCCTTGGATTCAGCAAAGCATCGGGCAAGACCTTGACCTGAATGGGCAGTGCAGACACGCCATCCCACATGCCTCAAGCACTGCCACTGAGCTGTCAATGTACATCCCAATTAATGCCAAATAAGCTTGGGAGTCGCCAGGATCTGGGCACATACACCTCTAGGCCACAAAAACTAGAACAAAAGCTTGTGATGAGAAAAGCATCGAAGGAACACTTAGGTGTAAAAGTGTTCAGGTCAAGTGAAACGAGTACTGCATTTTCTGAATCTCAAAAAAAAAACAATGTTTTTTTCCCACTACATAGGGAAAATGGGAGAATTACTTATATTACTAATTTATCGCTAATTTATAAGGAAGGGGATTTTCTTTTCCTTTTTTTCTGCTTTTTGGGTCACACCCAGCCATGCTCAGGGGTTACTCATGGCTCTGCACTTAGGAACTGCTCCTAGCGGTGCTCAGCGGACCACATGGAATGCCGGGAATGTTGGCTATGTGCAAGGCAAATGCCCTCCCCAGAGTACTACTGCTCCGACCCGGGAAAGTGATTATATTTTAGACAATAAAATGCTAACAATACAGCCTCTGATGAATTTTTCAAGAACACATCAGTTGTAAAAGCATTAATCGTAACTACCAACAAATAAAGGTAAAGGTAAAGGCCCTCCCGTTGATCGTCGATTTGCTCGAGCGGGCCCAGTAACGTCTCCATTGGAGACTTTGTTGTTACTGTGTCTGGCATATCCAATACTCTTGGTAGCTTGCCAGGCTCTCCGAGAGGGGCAGAGGAATCGAACTCGGGTCGGCCATGTTGGCCGCTTGTAAGGCGAACGCCCTACCCGCTGTGCTATCGCTCGCACAGCGGGTAGGGCGTTTGCCTTACAAGCGGCCAACATGGCTGACCCGAGTTCGATTCCTCCGCCCCTCTCGGAGAGCCTGGCAAGCTACCGAGAGTATTCGATACGCCAGGCTGACCAACAAATAAAACTATTGCTATTTACTGCTCAAAATAAATAACAAAACATGGAAATTAACATAGCAGGAGTGCAGGTAGGAAAACTTATTTGGATTAGGAAATTTATTTTAGGCAATGGGGAATTAAGAGAAAATAAGACAAGAAATAGAATTTGAGATTTAACCTGATCATGTTTTAACATGCGATTTTTGTATTATAAATGATGCTTCGTCATTGCGATTTTTGTCTGTTTCAGAGCCACACCTGGCAGTGCTCTGGGGCTACTTTCTGCTTGGTGCTCAGGGACGAGGGAGCACCAGAAATCAAACCTGGGCCTCCTGAAGGCACAACCTGGGCTTGAGCCCCAGGGCTATCTCCCTGTTTTCCTGGGCCCCTGAGTAAGATTAATTTTTACTAATTTATTTATTTATTTTGCTGTGCCAAGAATTAAGCCTTGGACCTCACACACACAAGGCGGGCACTGTATCAGTGAACTACACTGATGCCTAATTTACTATTACTTTGTAGTTAGGTAGCCCGGGGCCAATAGTGTCAGCTGGCGTACATGCACAAAGCCCGAGCCCCACCAGAGTGCCCCAGGCACCACCACATTGTCCCTTTGTCACCTCCAGAATCATAATTTTTTAAAAAAAATTGAATTACCATGAGATACACAGTGACAAAGTTGTTCATGATTGAGTTTCAGTCCTACAATGTTCCAAGACTTCTGCAACCCATCCCTTCACCTTACAATGCTGCTACTGAAAGGGTACCCTGTGCATCACTTTACTGGCCCCGTGGTTTTTTAATCTTGGGCATTATATTACTTATATATTTAATGAACATACATTGCTTTTGATCCAGCTGTCTAGTTGAGATTGAGATTTAACCTGATTATGTTTTAACGTACGATTTTGATTTCATACATGCTGTTTTATTATTGCTACTAAATCCAAGTATTTTAATTAGTGTTCCTGAAATGAAATTTTAGCTCAACCAAAAGAAAGAAAGCACGAGACAGACCAGAGAGGTCTTCTCCGCCTCCTACGACTCTGTAGATCAGAGACTAAAGCCACGAGACAGAAAGGGGGAGGACAAAGCCAGTCCTGAGGTGTTCTGCTTCTTTCTGCCCTTGAAAATAAACATCCTCTAAAGAGGGAATACTGAGAATCATGAAAGGTGGTTGCCAAGTGGATTGCAGCGGCTTGTTGCTAGGTTTATAGCCCAAATGTGTCCTTAGCTAGTTGGGGTCTGTTGTGTATTACTCATAAAAATGAGTGTTAATTGGCGCTGAAAGAAAGGAACTGTTTTAAGAGAACTCTTGTTTTAAACCTTCCTTTCCAGCTTCTCCATGAATTATTGCTTAAGCTGCAAGGAAGTGGGAGAGGGAGGTTGGTGAGTATAAAAAGAGACAAAGAAGGACAAGGGTTAGCTCGGTGGCAGAGTCCACGCTTTGCATGCATGAGGCCCTCAGCTTTATCCCCAGTACTCGAAACAAAAACGGCACCAGTGAGAAAATCAGAGATTTACAAATCTGTAAATTTTACGAGGGATTAAAATTGGAGTAAATTATCTTTTAACAAGTGACATTCGGAATGAGAATTGCATGGTCTTTAGTCGAAAGCAGGTAGAGTCACAGGAAGCAAAAGGGAAAAAAACCTATGGTCCATGTCACATGATTTATTTATTTTTTTGTTGTTGAGTTAAAATTTACTGTCAGGGCTGGAGCGCTAGCACAGGGTGTTTGCCTTGTACGCGGCTGACCTGGGTTCGATTCCCAGCATCCCATGTGGTCCCCTGAGCACCGCCAGGAGTAATTCCTGAGTGCAGAACCAGGAGTAACCCCTGTGCATTGCTGGGTGTGATCCAAAAAGCAAAATAAATACATAAATATATTGTCAAGGAGCACCCTCAATAATTAAAATGTTTGGATTCAATAAAGAATAAACAATCGGACTAAGAGGCTATCCAATAGCACAGCGGGTAGGGCGTTTGCCTTGCACGTGGCCACTCCGGACAACCTGGCCGCATGCAAGGCAAACACCCTACCCGCCGTGCTATAGCTCCAGCCCCAATACACATTTCTTTTGACTTTTTTTTTTCCACTACTGGTTAAAAGAATAATCTAGGCACCTTGGCTGTAGTCTTTAGCAATTGTTCCCACCCTCTCCTTCATTCCCTAACCCACAGGCCTGGAAAGAAAAGGAGAAAACTTAGATGCCATGCAGATATTCAGAATTCGTATCATATAAGGAAAAGCATATAAGATGCCATTCAGCAGACTATATTTTAGCAGCGTACAAAAGAACTGAATACGGCTGGAGTGGGGGTTGGAAATATGGTTATAAAAGCAAGTCCCGGACTCCTACCTGCAAACCCTACGCTCCAGTGCTGCGAGTTAGCTCTGGCCTGGGGCTCTGCTGAGGGGAGCGGAGGGGGTCCCAGGGATGGTCAAGTCCTGAGTGAAGCCCCAGCAATGCAGGCTAGCCTGCTCCAACCCCGCCATTTTGGTAAGTCGTTCCCCCCCCCCCCCCCACACACACACAGTTTGCTAAATGAAATGGGAATTTCAGTAGGCATTTCAAACATGAAAATGCACGGGATGGAAGAAAGTTACAGATTCTCTCTGGGACTTTAACCCTTGGTCTCCACAATTCCTTGGTATCTGAGCTCCAACAGGGGAAAGGCATTTTGCTAAATGCCTGTGGCCAGCTTGTGGGGCGTGGTAACAGCTTTCTGGCTGAGGCCCTGTGCAGAAGCCTCTCTCCTTTAGCTACAGAAATGCAGCAGCCAGAGAGGCCAATGCGGCCACACGCTGCTGGGCTTTTTTCTGGGCCTACTGGCTCTGGCGCTATTTGTTTAAGTCTCATTCAGGCGGGTCTGAGAAAGGGGGTTGGGGACTTTCGGCTGTGTCAGGCCAGGCCTCACCTTTCGTGACGTCGTGAAGCCCTCGCAGCGCCGCCCCCAGGTTTGTTAGCACAGAACCATAGTTGGCCCGCAGGAGTCCGTCCGGCTCCGTACCTAGGAAACCAAGACACAGACCTCAGCATTTTCCCACAACTTAGGGAAACCAGGCGACTCACCATCTCCCCAGTGTTTGCTGAGAGAGTGAAGACTCCTTGGGATGTGCAGAAAATAACAGTGCCGGAATTCCAAAGACATGCAGACAACAGAGAGAAAGACCGATGGAGGGGCCCAGCCTGCCGTCCCCATGGCCACAGATATTTTTAATGGTTCAGAATCAAATGACCAAGCCAGATTCTTTTCTGATTCTTTTCAAGATGAAGGGCTTGATGAATTTCACCTTGTAGCCATAATGCAGTTCTTGCTTTATTCTTTCCTTAAATGTGACTACTTATTGAACATCTAAAAATATTTTTCAAGCCCACAGAGCTGTGCTCCTGGCATCACGGCACGAACAGCTCCTCCAATCCAATTCCCAACAAAGTGGTGAATACTGTTTTGGAAATGATCTGAAAGGCATAGAGCAATGAAGAAGATTTACAGGAGAAAATCAGTAGCAACTCCTGCAGCACAGTGGGACTGTGGTATTCGAACCAAGGTGACTCTCTCCTGTCCCCTCCGGCCAGCGAGACTGGAAAAGCCGAAGACAAGGGATGTCCATTTTCCACTCGTTCTTCCTTCACCAGCCCCCAGCTCAGAGCGCCAGGCTCTGCCTTGGCCATGGTACTGCTGATGAGACAGAGCCCTTGGTTCTGGCCCAGCTCAATGGCAGGAGTGCTCTGTGAAGGAGGGAAGCTGGAGGCCCGCGGACTCCAGGAAGGAGTCAGGGGAGTCACGTGGAGAGAAGCAGATGGTTCTACCTGCCTGCAGCCCCGGGACAGTACAGCAGGTAACGTGCTCACCTGGGTTCCAGCCTCAACACCCATATGGTAACCTGCTCCCCAGCAGGAAGGGCTGCTGAGTGCAGAGTAAACCCTGAGCACAGCAGGTGTGGCCCAAAAACAAAAGAGGGGAAGGGAGGAAGGGAGGAAAAGAGGAAGGGAGGGAGGAAGGAAGGGAAGGAGTGAGGGAGGAAAGGAGGAGGGAAAGAGGGAGGGAGGGAGAGAGGAAGGAAGAAGGGAAGGAGGGAGGGAGGAGAGGGAAGGAGGGGGCAAGGGAGAGAGAGAGAGTGAGCCTACCTGGGGTCAGATCAAACCAAATCTACCAGCACTAGGTAGACGGCATGTCTAGAAACGCAGCTCTTAAGGAGCCCGTTTTTTACTGGAACAGTTGGTGGGCGAGAGATGCTGGCAGCACATACTGGGCATGAGAGCAGTGAGAGACTCCCGAAGCTCCAACATGAACCCAGGACAGGGCCTTAGCGAGTCCTCCCAAGCCCCTGTCATCTTGGGACACTCTGCAGGCCCAAGGCTCAGCTTTTATTGTTTGTTTTTATTCTGGGGTCACACCAGCGATGCTCAGGACTCACTCCTGGCTCTGCACTCAGGAATCATTCCTGGCAGTGCTCCGAGGACTGTAAGGGATGCCAAGGATCAAACCCAGATCGGCTGCTGCCGGACAAGCACCCGCCCCACAGTACTGTCTCCCCAGCCCTGAAGTAGAAGCAGCAGCAAGACAAAAAACTTACACTCTGAAAACAAGTGTTTAGAGAAATTAAAGATCTGCACAGAAGGGAAAGCATGCCACATTTCTAAGATTTAAAATTTTAACATTCTTAAGATCCCCTGTCCTACCTTCCTACAGGCATCATCATATCCAAGTCACAAACTACAAACACTTACTCTCCCACCTCTGGGGACCCGGAGTCTAAAATCAAGGAGTCGCAGGGCCAGGTCTCTAGCAAAGACGCCCGGGAATGTGTCCTGGCTTTCTGGGCTCCACATGGACCTTGGTGTATGGCGGGATGATTCAGCCCTGGCCTCTCTCCACACGTCTCCTCCCCTACGTTGCTCTATAGCGGGAGTTGCTGGTTGCCTCCGAATCTTTGCCTCTAATGCCTTCCCAATCTTTGCCTTATATGTGGTTGACCCAAGTATGGTCCCCCTGGGCAGCACCAGCAGTCATTACTGAATGCAGAGCCAGGAGTAACTCCAGAGCATTGCTGGCTGTGCCCCCGCCCCCCAAAAAATAAACAAAAAAAGAATAACAGTCACTAACCTGTTAGGGCTCTCTCTGAACCCATAGGATCACATCTTAATTTGATTCCACCTTCAGACCTATTTCCAAATAAGGTCACTCACAGAGCAGTCAGAGATCGACATATTTTCTTGTGAGACACATTCTAACTGCAAAACTCCCCTAAACTGACCAATAGATTCAAGTCAATTCCTATCAGAATCCCAGCTAACTTCCTGGTGTAAGTGGACAAGTTTCAAACATTCATACGAGACTGCAAGGGACCCAGATAGCAAAACAAGCTTTCCAAACAAGTACCAAATAGGCGGGCTGGAGCGATAGCACAGCGGGTAGGACATCTGCCTTGCACGCGGCCAATATGGCCGACCCGAGTTCAATTCCTCTGTCCCTCTCGGAGAGCCTGGCAAACTACCCAAAGTATCTTGCCAGCACGGCAAAGCCTGGCAAGCTACCCGTGACGTATTCAATATGCCAAACACAGAAATAAGTCTCACAATGTTACTGGGCCCACTCGAGCAAATCGATGAACAACGGGAGGACAGTGACAGTGACCAAGGAGGCAGGACTCACAACTCCTGGTCTCAAAACTTATTGCAAAACAATGATCATTAAGACAGTGTGACACTGGCATTGTAGATATTAGAATATTTGGAATAGAAAACATTCCAAATATAGCAACTCATGTATTTGATGAGAGGTTTGTATATAAAATACACAAAGAACCCTTACAGCTCAATAATGAAAAGACAACTGAAATTTTAATAGAAAATTTTTAATTAAAAAAATAGAAAAAGATATTAGAAACATACCTCCAAAGAAGCTAGACTGGGGCTGGGATGATAGCACAGCGGGTAGGGCTTTGCCTTGCACGCGGCCAACCCAATCCAGGTTCGATTCCCAGCATCCCATATGGTCCCCTGTACACCACCAGGAGTAATTTCTGAGTGCATGAGCCCTGAGTGCAGGAGTGACCCCTGTGCATCGCTGGGTGTGACCCAAAAAGCAAATAAACAAAGAAGCTCGACAAATGGCCGATGAAGAGATGAAAAGATGTTCACCATGACTAGGAAGCAGGGACTGTATCAAAACTCCAATGGGAACCTCTTCAGAAAGTCAGATATTACTATGATGGCTGAATCAAAAAGGAACAAAAATTAGAGGTGGCGTCAGAAAGAGAGCAAAGGGGGCAAGGCAGCTTGCCCTGCACACGGCTGACCCCAAGCACCAGTAGGGATGACCTCCAAGCCCAGAGTGAGGACTACGCCCTGAGCACCAACAGGGTGTGTCCCCCAAACAAAACAAAAGTCTGATGCGAATGTAAGAAAATCAGAACCCTCTTGCAATACAGGTTGAAATGTGAAACGCTACAACCACCACGGAAAACCGTCAGATAGACCGTCCAACAGTTAGAGACAGAGAGGCCATGGCTGGGCAACTCCTCTCCTACCAAATCTCCAAGAGTGAAAAGACTACTCACAACCTGCTCGTGAATATACACCAATCTTCATGGTAGCCAAAAAGGTGCAAAGACCCCAACGTCCATCAACGTCCACATGATAAATCACGTGTGGCATATCCACCCCATCAAATGCTTCAGGACGGGGTTGAGCTATGCCAGGACACGCTCAGGGCTTCCTCCGGGCGCTGTGCTCGGGGATCACTCTTGGTACTGCTCAGGGGGTCATATGAGGCAGCAGGTGATCAGAGGGGGGCCAACTATGCATTATCTTTCCAGCCCCCACACCATGGAATATTATTCTGCAATAAAAAGAAATGAAATGTTGGGGCTAGAGCGATAGCACAGCGGGTAAGGCGTTTGCCTTGCACGCAGCCAACATGGCTGACACAGGTTCAATTCCCAGCATCCCATATGGTCCCCCGAGCACCGCCAGAAGCAATTCCTGAATGCATGAGCCAGAAGTAACCCCTGAGCATCGCTGGGTGTGACACAAAAAGCAAAAAAAAAAAAAAAAAAAAAAAAAAATGTTGATATATACTGTAACTTGGTTGAATCTAGAAAACATTATGCTAACTGAAAGAAGTTACAAAAGCTCACATATGATACCGTTTATATTCAATGCTCAAAGCAGGCAAATCATAGACAGAAAATAGATCAATAACTGCCCAGTGCTGGCGAGGTACAATGAGGGATTAAGAGAGCAAGAGTTACATTTGTGGAATATAAAATAAAATAAATAAAGAGAGTAAAGGGGGCAAGGCAGCTTGCCCTGCACACGGCTGAGACTAACACCCAAGGATGGTAGAGACAAGGGCCAGGAAGGTTGCTCTACAAGGGGCTGGAGTGATAGTACAGCGGGTAAGGCGTTTGCCTTGAGCGTGGCCGACCCGGGTTCAATTCCCAGCATCCCGTATGGTCCCTTGAGCACTGCCAGGAGTAATTCCTGAGTGCATGAGCCAGGAGTAAGCCCTGTGCATCGCCGGTGTGACCTAAAAAGTGGAAAAAAAAAAAGATTGCTCTACAGTTGGAAGCCTGCCTCATGAGCTGGGGGAGAAGGTAGCTGGAATAGAGAGGGGATCACTAAGTCAATGGTGGTTAGAGGGGTTGCTCGGGATGTGAGATGTGTGCTGAAAGTACACTAAGGCCCAAACATGATGGACTCACAGTATCTCTATTGCAAACCATAATGCCCCAAAGTAGAGACAAAGAAGAAAATTATCTGTCACAGAGGCAGGGGAGGAGTTGGATGGTGAGGAGGTATACTGGGGACATAGGTGGTGGGAAATGTGCACTGGTGGAGGGATGGGTATTTGATCATTGTATGACTGAAACACAAACATGAAAGCTTGTAACTGTATCTCATGGTGATTCAATAAAAAAAAAGAGAGTAAGAGTCAAAATTAGAAGGGCTTTTGCATCTGCTTCATTTTCAGTGCTGGGAAACCAGACACACACACAAGCAAGGTGCGTGCTTCACCGACACAGGGCAGCCCTGGCCCAGCATTTTCCTTCTTGAGAAGAAAAAAAATTCTAAAATTGACTTTTGTGATGGTGCACATATCTAAGGATATTATAAAAACTATTCAACTGTACGGCTTACACGGGTAAGCTGTATGGCACTTTAGTAAACTTTATCACATTAAAGGTATTCACTGTCACTGTCCTCCCGTTATTCATCGATTTTCTCGAGCGGGCCCAGTAACGTCTCCATCGTGAGACTTGTTACTGTGTTTGGCATATCAAATACATCTCGAGTGGCTTGCCAGGCTTTGTCGTGCGGGCGAGATACTCTCGGTAGCTTGCCGGGCTCTCCGAGAGGGGCGGAGGAATCGAACTCGGGTCAGCCATTTTGGCTGCGTGCAAGGCAAACGCCCTACCGCTGTGTTATCGCTCCAGCCCATTAAAGGTATTATAAAAGTAAAATGAGTATAGGACCAGGAAAGACACAGCTTTCTTTAACAAAAAAAAATTGTTTTTTGGAGGGGGGCCACACCTAGGGGTGCTCAGGGCTCATTCCTGGCTCTGCACACAGGACTCACTCCTGGCAGGACTAGAGAACAATATACAGTGCCAGGGATCAAGCCCAGGACGGCCGCACGCAAGGCAAGTGCCCTACCCACTGTCGTATCACTCCATCCGCAAGTCATGGAATTCTTAAAAAAAAATGATATAAACTGAAGTCTGTTCAACTATCCGGGGGAGGGGAGAACAGACAAATCCAACCACCTTCTTTTCAAAGGGAAACTAAAACATATTAAACCATCCCTGTGCTACTTAGTGGAAAGCTGGTGTATATACTTCTACTTTACCCTTCTCTATTTAAAAAAGAGGAAAGAGAGTTAATATTTAATGCAAATCTTCAATGCCTAATACATCGGTACATTCTTTTTTTTGTTGTTTTTGCTTTGGGGCCACACCCAGAAGTACTCAGAGGGTATATGGGATCCGGGGATGGAACCCGGGTCTGCTGCATGCAGCACTCTACTGGCTAGACTATCTCTCTGGCCCCATCCATTCTTAATTCAACTCATCAGTCACATTTACCTCCATTTTGTAAGTGGGAAATAGGCCCAGCGGAGCAAAGTGGTTTGTGCAAGGTCATAAATATATGTAAGGAAGTAGAGAATTTGAATTCCAGTTTTGCTGACTCCAGATTATAGGATCTTCCCATTCAAATACGCTAACCCATCTCTCCCTTTCAACTTCAAGTATCCCTCTTCAAGTTGAACCAGAAGGAACATACTTACTTGGCAAAGCGAGAAGCCCAATGTAAGTTTGCAACTTCTCAAACACAGCTGTCATTTTTTTCATGTCTTGAGACAGCTCTAAATTCCTGGCTCTTAACGCAGTTGTGCAAAGAGAAGATTCACATTCTTCTTCTAAACTAGGAATGGGTAGATATTTTTAAAGTGAGCATCCTGGAAAATTTTCAGTTAGCTATAAGACACCATCTAAACCACCAAACTACTTTAGCCAAAGAGGGGCTTTGCTAAAAAGAGGAATTTGGTATCATTTTTCCTGCCATTTTTTAAATGCACCTGCTTTCTGCAGATGCCAATGAACTATGAGGAATAAATGTGAAGGCAGGAGTCCATTATCTTTCCATCCTGAGAGCAGGTGAAAGATGGTTCCCTTCAAGATGTCTTGGAGAAAGTGTTTAATTAACAATATTCCTAAACTGGACATAGCAGAGAAAATCCACTCCCCGCAAAGCTGCTGTGGTGTGCGCAATCTCCCCAGCCCTGCGGTAGGGAGGAGCGTCTAAGAAACATCTTTAGTGTATGCAGCTCCCAAATCCAAAAAGATGGAGGGAGAAAAATAAACAAAATATGGACTTAAAACTTAAAAGTAAATTCCCAACATTCACGAAATACATCGTTTCCATCTTAAATGGTTACTAAGGCAAGCTTGATTATAGGAATTTTTAAAAACAGATGTATTTTTTAAAAAAGATGTATTCTTAATAGCGCTAATTAAAAAAGTGCTGATAATCAAATAAAATGCTTTTTAAACAAGTAAAGAAGTTACGAATCCAGCAATGAAAACCATACCCATTCCCCTGCCCTTGCTGGCTCTTCTCTCTCAACTTCTAACTATGGCAGCAGACAGCTTCATTCATCACTACATTAAGTTACTACTGAAGCACACGTCATCTTTGTCAATGACACTGCTATTTAAACCAATGACCAAAAAACAAGCACAATCTTGAATGCCTGACAAGGTAGGAGGTAAACTGAAAGCTTATCAGTTGGAACATTTCAAGAAGAGGAATCTTAGATCAAGGACCGGCTTCCCTGTGTTTCAAAAAATATATGGCAAAAAAATATAAAAACAAGCAACTGTTGCAGAGAACATATTTTTGCAATGGTTCTTAAATTTCTCTTCAAATATAAGATAAATCAGTAAATTATATTGAGTGCAATGCTATTTAAACTTCTGAAGTTAATTTTATCTATTCATTTAATTTTGGCGTTTTGGGGGCGGGGGGGGGTCACACCCAGCGATGCTCAGGAGTTACTCCTGGCTCTGCAGGGACCATATAGATGCCAGGGATCAGACCCGTGTAGGCACCCTACCCACTGTACTATCACTTGGTGCCCTGAAGTCAATGTTTAAAATCTGAATTATATTGAAACATAACATACAAAGATCTGAATAAAATTATAACTTTAATTTTATTAACAATTTAAAATATTAATTGATTTTAAATAATGAAATTTTGTTTTGAAGTTGAAAGTTACTACTTTAATTTTAATTGAAGATAATTAAAATAATTAAAAATAATTAAATAATTTAAATTGTAATTGAAAGTATTAAATAATAAAACCACATGATTAATAATTAAAATTACTTTTTAATAATAAAATTTTATAATTTGAAAAGTTGAAAGTTATTACTTTCGTTTTATAAAAACTTATGAACTACAATTACTTCTGTATTTTTAATATCTACAAGTCTTTCAGGTATGTATTTTCTAAACATTATTTGCAATATTACATCCTCTGCCCCATTCGGAGAGCCTGGGAAGCTACCGAGAGTATCTCACCCGCACAGCAAAGCCTGGCAAGCTGCCAGTGACATATTCGATATGCCAAACACAGTAACAAATCTCACATTGGAGACGTTACTGGGCCCGCTCAAGGAAATCGATGAACAACGGGATATGTGCTACAGTGCTACACATATTACATATCTATGCTCTTATTTCTCTTATGTTCTAACTTTATTACTTCTAAGCTGAATCCTAGAATGAAAAAATACAGATGAATTCGAAGCCTTAGAGTTTTAACCAGAAGTATCAAAAAATATAAAAAGTCTCATCAAATTTCAATTTATTATTATTTTTGTTTTGCCTATTCAAAAACATTTAAAGTGTAAACTTAAGGTAACCAAATGATGTATTCTATAAAGGCTAGTAGATAAGTTTTTAGTTTATAATTAAAACAGGTCACCAACAATAAAAACAAAAAATATAACATTCTAAAGAAACCTAATGATGATACATCCAAATGCATATGCATAAGTTGTTATAAGCCCATTGAAATATTTATAGCAAAAATGTAATAAATACCCCACTAAATTTTTCAATCAATGTGTCATTGAAAAATCACTAAAAGTGCTTTTATATTGCATAATTTGGTAGTAATCACTGTACCAAAGCACTGAAAAACAAATCTAGCTGAGAGACCATAATTCAACTTTCTTAAACATAAGGTTAAGCTGCTCAAGTCATGGTTTTCTTTTCCATGAAGTCCAAACAATTTATGGTGCAGAAAGGTCAGGCTGTCTATTACTACTTTACTACCTCTGGCATGGGTCTGAGGCCACCCAATTACCGAAGCCCCCAAGCGTTAAGGTAAATAAATACCTTTTTAACTGATAAGGAAGAATCTTTCTAAGAAAACAGATGTAAGAGGTTAGATGCTCTGAAAAAGTTTTCAATTTCACAGTTGTCTCCTGGAAAGAAAAACAACACCAAGGTCAAGGAGTCGTTTGACAAAAAGGAGCTCCCAGTTCGAGAAGTGAAAGGAGAGAATTACCAGGACGGTCACAGTATCCTCAGTGATGCTTCCGAACAGCTGAAGCATTCCTTCCTCGAGGGGGCGGACGTAGGACGCGTTCTCATGAAGGTACTGTGAGAACTGAACAGAAGGGAGCAACTGTGAGACAAACAACCAGCCAACAGTCAACACACTTGAACTGGGCTCACTGAGTCAAAAACCTGTTTCTGGTTTGGTGGCATTTGGTTTTTACCCAGAGACACCTCCTTCTCATGAGCCCAGACACTACTGCCAAGCCCCCCGCCAGTGTAACTGAGGAAACGGGCAGGGACATGGAGGAAAGCCAGCACCAAGAGGCGTTCTGCCCTCAATACCTGCTTCTCTTTCAGGGGACAGAAATGTTTGTTTTTTTAAATCAAGACTAACAGATTTTTGGGCCGGAGTGATAGTACAGTGGGTGGGACGTTTGCCTTGCACTCAGCCAATCCGGGTTCGATCTCTGGCATCCCATATGGTCCCCCCAACACTGCGAGGAGTGATTCCTGAGTGCAGAGCCAGGAGTAACCCCTGAGCATCGCTGGGAGTACCCAAAAAGCAAAAATAAAATAAAATAAAATAAAAGTCTGTTTTTTAATAAAAAAGAAAAAAAAAGACTAACAGATTTTTGAGTCATATATCTCTTTTTTTTTTTAATTTTTAATTTTTGGGTCTTTGGGCCACATGCAGCGGTGCTCAGGGCTCACTCCAGGCTCTCTGCTCAGGATAAATTCTGATGGACTCTGGGACCATACTGGCTGCCAGGGCATTAACTTCGGTCAACTACATCCAGGCAAGCAGCCTATGCCCGCTGTACTACTTTTCCAGTTCCCTCTCTCATTGAGGGGGGAAAAGTCTGTATGAAGACAGTCTCTGCTTTGACTACCCCCACCAGCGCGAAGGGGCTACTCCTGGCACTGCGCTTCAATTCTCTGGGTGACCCCTGGAGATGGTGGGGGTCACAGGTGTGGGGGATTGACCAGAGACTCCCACATGCCCTGTGTGAGCTCAGTCCCTTGGAACCACCTTCCTGCCCCTGGTGCTTATGTTTACTTCACAGAATGTTTAGGATGAGCAATACCTAGGTATGGAAAAATCATAAAAAGGAAGATATCAAAACATCTATGTGTTGGAGAGAGTGTATGGGCAGGACAAACAGGGCTTGATCTCCAGCACCACATATCGTCCTCCGAGCCCCACCAAAAGTCATCCGGAGTATAGGGCCAGGAGTAAGCACAGAGCACAGCTGGGTGTGGCCCCAAAACTCAACACACACAAAAACTTATGGCCAAAGGCCACACATTGGGAGAACTGATCACATACTGACCTGGTGGGGGACGGGCAGAAAGGGAGGGGCATTGGGGTCCTTGAGGGCAGCTGGGGACACTAGGGACGTGGGAGGTACTGGCATTAATTGTAGCAGAAATCACTGGCAAGGGCTGTCAATCGCAGAACCTCACTGAAAATTTTTCCTTTAAATTTCTAACTGTCACTGGTACATTAGATTGTATTTACAAAGGACTAATTCAGGTTTAGGGATAGATATAGAAAAAAATTGGAAAATTTAAAAACAAAAATGATTATTTTCTTTTATGAATATCATCATATCATCTATAAGGTAAATTATAGAAAAACATCTTATTCAAAATGAAGTTTGACATGCAAGATTGACATACTTGAATCTCACCATAATTGGGTGTAATCAGAGAGACCAGGGGCCCGAGACTCAGCTAATTTAGTTCCTAATTTCCTTTTTGTCTGGGATACTGCTGTGAGTGACAAGGAGTGAGTTCAGAGTGGGAACATTATATGCCAGAAACATTCATGTTAGCAGCTTTATAAATCATGATGTCAAAAAAATTTTGTTTAAATGAGTTTTTTACAAATAAATTTTATTACTTTATCTATAAATGTTTATACACATATTCAACATTTATTTATAAATATATTATAAATATTTATTTCTAATATACTTAATTCATAATTTTATAATTTAAAATTTTATTTTACCTTTATTTTATAAATAAATAAATATAAATGATTGCTCTATTTTATCTCAAGGGCCTAATCTATGACTGTTTTCTCCCAAGTTCTTGACTGTATTTTACTGTTGCACAAAAATGGTCTGAAAATGAATAATGCGTCCTCATACTGTTGAAGGAAAATAAGGCATTCTGTTACCTTCTGATTCAGTGGAGATATAGTGTCAATGGCAGAATCAACAGGGAAAATCTGAATCCTCTGCTCTGTGTAGGTGTGAAAGTTCAAAAGCGCGGTCACAAGATCTTGAACAAAAGCCAGGGCTTGTCCAGTAATATCCCGCATTTTCAGCTTTAAAATTAAAAGTGTACAAATTAAAGCTGACTATCCAGTGATTTTTATCAAATTACATTAAAAAGTCTACTTCAGAAGAAAGCATTTGAATTCAAATATAATTATTTCCTCATTTAAATTCACTTGTTCCCTAAAGTAACAAAATAGGAGACTAACATCCAAGAGTGGCCGAGATTAGTACCAGGAATTTTGCTACATGACTTGGAGGCGAGCCACACGTGCTAGGGGAAAAGGGAGCTCAGATAGAGAAGGGAGCACCAAATAAAGGGTGTTGGGAGGATCCTCATAGGATGGGAGAAGCATGCTGAAAGTAGGCTATAGGCCAAGTATGATTGCTGCTCAATGCCTCTCTTGCAAACCACAGCACCCAAAAGGAGAGAGAGAGAGAGAGAGAACAAAAGGGAATGCCCTGCCACAGAGGCAGGGTGGGATAGGGGGATGGGGGGTGGGAGGGATACTGGGACCCGTGGTGGTGGGAAATGGGCACTGGTGGAGGGATGGGTACTTGATCATTGTATAACTGAAACCCAAGCACAAAAATTTGTAAGTCTGTAACTGTACCTCATGGTGTTTCACTAATAAAAAAATAAATTCACTTGTTCCCTCTTAAATTTTAATGTTCCAATCTAAATAAATTACAAAGTCACCAATTTTGGCAAATATACCTCCTCTAGGTGACGAAGACCACTATAGCAAAGGGTCTGCCAAAACAGGGGACAGTGTGACGCACACAAACAAGGGTGGCCCGACTGCAAGCCTACTGCTTCAGACGAGATGAACAGGAAGATCCCTATGGCTTATGGCCCAATGAACAGCAAGCTACATCATTTAAAGTGGTGGTTTTTGACTTGTTCATGCCCATAGATCAATACTGGTACCTGCACCCACAGCAGTTGAAAATCTCTGGCTTAACGGCTGTGGGAGAAACTCAGATTTAAAACTTAAACTGAATGACCAGGCACACTTCACAGAGGCCCAGGCCAACTAATTCTGGTTTCTGAAAGTCTGGCAAACACAATGGCTGAAAGTAAAAATTTCATCTTTACCTGATGTCTCCTATTGTGGAGTGGGACGTTCAGAGCATTATACTGACTATATTCTACAAAACAAAACAAAAACAATGTTTGTTCATTAAATCTCTCATTTGGCATGTACAGAAAAACAGCATAAATGCAAAGTAACAAATGTTCTGCAGCCAGACCAGCTTTATGGAGGAACTTAAAATGATGAAAGTCAATCATCACAGCTCAGGAAAACAATGACGCTTACATATATTCTGCTGTTTCTCAGAAAAGTATTTGGGATAAAACAAATCAACGAAGCTTCCATTTCGAAGAACGTCTGAAGAGCTTCTGGGGCGCCAGGTTCGTACACTCCCACTCTCCTCACAGCCCGAAGCTCAGCTCGCCTATCTTTTCCTCAGGCCCCTAGGAACACGGCTTCTGGCCTCCTCAGGCACATAGGACTGTCTGCCTTGCACGCAGTTGACCTGGGTTTGAATTCCCGGCATCCCATATGGTCCCCTGAGCCCTGTCAGGAGTAATTCCTGAGTGCAGAGTCAGGAGTAACCCCTGAGCATCACTGGGTGTGACCCCAAAAGTTAAAAAAAAACAAGAAACTGTTTCTGCCAATGTCCCTAATGCCTATTCCACCTAGCAGTCTTTGGTAGCAACTGGTGTTCACCTCCACTCTGCAAGGAAGCCCTTTTCTCAAAGGTCCTCCCCAAAGCCACCAAACCCAGCTGCCTTTATCACACTCTTTAATTTCTCCACAGTAATGGAAGGAACTCATAAGCACCATCAGATCAAATACTCCCTTCTCTAGGGTCCAGAGAGACTGTATAGTGGAGAGGATGTTTGCCTTGCATGTGGCCAACCCGGGTTTGATGCCTGGCATCCCACATGGCTCCCAAGCACTGCCAGGAGTTCTTTTTCTTGCTTCTGGTTGTGTAAACTACCAGCTTACTCCACAAAGAAACTATATGCAAGGCTTACCTAAGTCAGCTTCCTAATGATACAAGAGTCGGGTATAACCCCAGAGCATTGCAGAGTGTGGTCCAAAAACCAAAAGAAGGAAAGAAGGAAGGGAGGGAGGGAAGGAAAGGTTGAGGGAGGGAGGGAGGGAGGGAGGGAGTGGGGAAGGAAGAAGGGAGGAAGGAACCCACTCCCTTCTCCAGTTTCTGCCTCACTCTATTTCCCCAGCTCCTCTGCACTCTCTAAGACCCTGGAGCAAAGCTCCTGTACTCTGCACCCCTCATTCCTGCCACACCCAACAGGAGGTGGTGGCAATACTTATATCCAACAAGGTCAATATCAGCTCCTCTCCCAAGGTCTAATCTTTCACTGATAAATAATTACCTATAAATAATGACATATATCAGATTATTAAATAGAAACAAAATGAACATCCTTGTCTTTTCCATCCAACAACGAACAGTGACCATGGGCAGTGATGCTTCTCTGCTGTCCATGTCTTTGGCTCGCGTGACCTCCTCCCTCTTCCTTGCCTCCTTGTATCTCCCTGGTGACTCTGGCCCAGGCTCCAGCCCAGCGCCCAGGACAGCACCATCACAATATCAGCCCCTCTTCCCACTCCACTGTCAAGTAAACTGGCTGCCACATTAACTGCCACGAATTCCTTTATGGCATTCCCTGGATCAAGAACCCCATTTCCTGGCCAATTAAGTACCCAAGTTCTTTGTCCACAAGCTTTGGTGCCCAGGACCACTCACACTTTCCCAACTGACCTGTCCATGTCTTCCACACCCCTCTCATAGTCACTACTCATCAAACCATGACTGTTACCTTTCCTCCTACTCCTGTACTCTGAAATTCTCTTGCTTGTTCTCCTTCATCTCTGCCCAGTAAATCTTAGGCATCGAGGCCCAGCTCAAAGCACAGGCCTTCTAGAACTTTCCCCGAATTCCCCCCACCCCGCCAGCAGTAATCCGTCCCTCCTCTGAAACGCTAAGAGGTTCTTTCCCAAACTGCTTAGCTTAAGACATTTCTTACCTTCTATCTTCCCTACTAGACTGAATTTTCTGAAGGAATTACTTACCATTCCCTATGCTCCCTTCCTTTCTGGGTGCTCAGCATATGCTCTCTAAATAGTAACTAGAGCAATAACCTACCTGAAACAGGGTAAGCCCTAAAAGCAGGATGCCACTAATACTGGGAAAGGAAAGATGAGTCCAAATGGGATTCAAAAGGAAATTGTGAAACCTGATGACTAACAGAATCAGAGACGACTGAGAGAATGAAATGCCAAGGTTTCGAGTTCAGTAAATGAAAGTATGCTCGTGCTATCTATGCTAATACAGAAATTAGAAACAGGTGTAGGTCTCAAAGGACAGAATTTAGATTTCTGATATAGTGACACAATGCTTTCAGGTTTAGCTCAAAGTTCACTCTTTACTTTCCTCTATTTTTAGGTCTCCCCTAGGAAAAGGGGAGAAAAACACTAATTTCAATCATGTAATTGTAAAGAGGGAAATGTGTTGGAAAACAAGTTCCAAATCCCACACATTCTGTTAAATTGATCTTTCTCCTTCCTTCCTTCCTTCCTTCCTTCCTTCCTTCCTTCCTTCCTTCCTTCCTTCCTTCCTTCCTCCCTCCCTCCCTCCCTCTTACTTTCCCTCCCCCTCCCTCCCTCTCTTCCTTTCTTCCTTTCTCAGCCTATCTCTCCCTCCCTCCGTGCCTCCCTCCCTTCCTCTCTTCCTTCATTCCTTTTCTTGTTTTTGGGCAGTGCTCAAGGCTTCCACTGACTCTGGTCTGGGGTCACTCCTGGCAGACTCAGGGACCATAACTGACCCCCCTCAGAAGCCTGGGGATCAAATCTTGGTCAGCCACATGCAAGCAACATGCCATACCCACCACTGCACTATCACTCTGGCCTCATTAATTTCTTTTTTTAAAGTTCTTTTCCTTGCTTCTGGTTGTGTAAACTACCAGCTTACTCCACAAAGAAACTATATGCAAGGCTTATCTAAGTCAGCTTCCTAAGAATTCACCGGAAATATACAAGATACAAGAGATTGAGACAATGCACCTCACAGCACCCTCTTTGGTCATGAGCAACTTCAGGGACCTAGTATGTGGAGGGTGTTTCTTACCTTGCGGTATGTCAAAGACACATCATAATTTTTTTCAATTATAAATTTTGGCTTCTCCCAAGAATGCTAGATTTCTAGTAGTTCTATGACCATCTGAAATCTCCCTATGGAATTGAACGTCAAAGCTCCTCAAAAGAACAAAACCAAGCAACTCTCTGCTGGGCCACTAAGGATATTTGTCAAATACATTAGAAATCATTTCAATTAGTTGGCTATGACAGAGAGATCAAAGTTGTAAATAATGAAAAACTGAACATAATACCTACTTGTATCATTAAAAGGTACTTTTTCACTGATGATTGATAAGGATTCCTCTAATCTACCTGACAAATCTTCATGAAGACTCTTTAACTGTAATTGACTGAAAAAAAACAAAAACAAAAAAAGAACACTGTATTATCACCAGTCAGACTTTGCTTCATACCTCAACAGCTGGTGTCAGACTTTTTAACAATGTGCCCAAAATGAACATAAACTTGGAGACAGATGTAAAAGATGAGCATTTTAAAACAAAAAACACCAGAACCTTGATTCTTAACCCCTCAAGACATCTGCTGAATCACATGGAACTTTATAAGAATTTATGTCTGGGCATCTTATAAAATCCTAAATTTATTTCTCTGAGTGCAAAATAAACTTAGGTCCATTATAAAGTTTCTCTTTACTACATAGACATGTTTGTTCAAGTATATTATGGCAAAGTTCTTTTTCTTAAAGATGACATCAGATTTCATTTTCCTTGAACTCAAACATTTTGGTTTTGATTCAATTATGAGAACACAATTACACATATAGACTATGTGTGAAAATCAACCATTACCACTTAACTGAAGAAATTTACCTGATCAAAACTACTAAAACCTAAAATACCATGTGATGCAACAAATAAATGTTGGGGCACGCTTTTACTGCAAGTTGTCTTTTGTTCTTTTGTTCTTTTGTTCTATAAAACAGAACAAGTTTTTGTGGTTGGTCTGTTTTGTTTTTGACTCACGCCCCACTCTGCTCAGAGCTTATTCCTGGCTCTGTGCCAGGTGCTAGGGATCGAATCAGGGCCATCTACATGCAATGCAGGCACCTTAGTCCCGGTACTATCTCTCAGCCCAAACAACTATTACTTCAACTTGAGGATTTAGATACCTATCAGTTGTAACACATAACCTTCATTCTATTCAAAATGTATCATAGAGTGGGGAGGTGGCAATGGTCAGCAGTCTTCCTGAGGGGGTATGAGAAGGCCCTCTCTGCAGATTGGGGTCCTCAACGGAGCCCAAAACACTATCTGCCACGGCCCAAAGCACCTGCATTCTGAGCACCAATACCCTGCTGACACCACTATTAGCAGAACCAGAGCTAAGAGAACTGGAAGGATGCCTGAGGATGACCCACTGCATCTCATCTCAACTATGAGAAAATGACGCCAGAGGAGGGCTAACACCAAAACCCGAGTCTTCTGAACCTTACTTCAGAGCCCACATACCATTCTTCAGTTCGAAGTCGACATTCCTTGGCCTCCTTTTCTAGGGTCTGGGATTTGACCTGCATTTGAGAAGGGAACAGAGACAGATGGTTGACATGCAGGCACCTAGACAGACCGACCATGAGCAACCGTCTGGCCCTGAGTGACTGGCTAGGCTTTAAGGACGGGCACAGACCATTTGGAACAGCCTCGACCCTAAGTGCTCTCGCCAACACTGGGGCTTACTTCTAGTTTGGCCTTGTCATTCTGCAGCTTCTCTATGGTCTCCATGTACTTCCGCGTCAGGCCGTCCACCACAGCTTGGTTCTGAGCAGCCTCTGTTTCAAGAGAGGACAGTCGATTCCTCAGCTCTGCTTCCACATGCTTATGCTTCTCATCAGCTTCGAAAAACTGAAAACAAAAGACCGATTTTCTCTTCTTACAAGATCCTAAAATAGACCAATGAACAGATGAACACCAGCAGCGCCATCCCACTGGGCAGTTCCCACGATGCCATATGCTCACTGACCAAAACCCACAGGGGCCTGACCACAGAGTCCTCGCAGGACAGTCAAGGGAAGGCTCATGCCGGAACTGCTCCACAGACAGGAAAAGCCGAGCAGGGCAGGACTCGCCAGATCATCTGCCAGATGTTTCACAGCTCAGATTTAGTAGAAGTTAACTCTGCACCCATACCTTACTTGGAAGCCTTCTCCGAAGCCTGTTAACTCCTTCTTCAGTCTCATATGCTCCCTTTTTTAGGTTTTTGTTTTGTTGTTGTTTTGGGCCCCGCCCGGAGATGCTCAGGGTTTAGACCTGGCTCTATGTTCAGGGGTCACTCCTGGCAGGCTTGGAGACCATACGAAATGCTGGGGATCAATTCTGGGTCAGCCACGTGGAAGACAAACATCCTTGTACTATCTCTCTGACCCTGAAAGAACTTCTAGTTCAGTTTTTTTCAAACAATTTCAATGGACCAGAATATAACACTTCTATAAGCTGACTTCCATGACTGAACAGTCAAAACTCAAATAGATATAATTTCTGGAACAGGTTGAAAAAAAATGCCATATGGGATGCAGCTCTTCTCCTCCATATTAGGAATACTAGCTAACAATTAAGAATACTTAATAAACGGGACCAGAGAGACAGTACAGCAACAGCAGGTGAGGCCTTGCCTTGCATGCAGCTGACACAAATCTGATCTCCAGCATCCCATACAGCCCTTCAAGACTGGCCAGGAGTGATTCTTGAGCACAGAGTCAAGAATATGTCTGAGCATGACCAGGCATGGTTCAAAAGCAAAAAAGCAAAATAGCAAAAACCGCTTAATGCAAAAATACACTGATAGGTCAGAGAGATAATATGCAGGTCATGTGCTTGGCCTGCACATGGCATCAATTCTCGGCACCCCATCCGGTCCCCTAGGCCTGCCAGCAGCGGTCCCTGAGTGCTGACCCAGGAGTAAGCCCTGAGCACTTTTGGTGTGTGCAAGCTGGTGTGTGCTCAAAAGCAACAACAACAAAAATGCACTGAGATGAAAAGTTTATCTGACTTTTTTTTTTGCTCAGGGGTTACTCCTGGCTCTTCACTAAGAAGTTACTCCTGGCAGTGCTTGGGGACCATATGGGATGCCGGGGAGTGAACTCGGGTTGGCTGCGTGCAAGGCAAATGCCCTCCCCGCTATACTATGGCTCCGGTCCCAATCTACCATTTTTGAAAGGTAAAATTTACTGTATATTTATTTTCGACCATTTGATTATGCTCACCATTTCAAAATAAATCAAGAGACACAGCTGTATAAAATATACTATCTCTCTGGGAATATGCAGAATAATTTAGGGTCTTACACTGACTCAACATTTGAGGGTCTGCAAATAGTTGAGGGCCTCTGAGGTAAGGAAATAAATGTTAAGTTCAAATAGAAAAAGAAAAGAAAATGAAGGGGGGGGAAAGATGTGGGGCTGCCTTGAGCGAGGCCCCAAGACTAAGCATGGGACAGAATATGTTTGCCCACACCCCAACAGGCCTTAGCCCATATTCTCAAATATGCACCCCCTCCCCCATTTCTATAAGTAAGTCTGTCTTGATAAATCTATTTTGCTTCACCAATTAAAAACAAATAGAGAGAATAGATAAAAACCGAAAAGTACTAATTTTCAAAAAGCAAACACTACTTACTGATAAGACCCCATCTAAAAGATCCATCCATCAAATGACATCAAATGTCCTGTATGTTTCTGTGTCAATTTATAAGGCTCTCCTACTGTCCTCCAAAGACACATACTTCAAAACACGATTCCACATTTAGACACATGAGTTAAGAAATGAATTGGTGAGGGTGGAGTTGGGGTGGGAACGGGATATGGGAATTGGTGGAGGGAAGTTGACTCTGGTGGTGGGACTGATGCTGAAATGTCTAAAACCCAACTATCAATATCTTTGGAAATCGTGGTTAACTAAATTAAAAATTATTTTTTAAAAAATGAATCAATGAGTGGCATATGCACCTAACCACGGGGGACATGAAGCACACACTCGTCCTCACAACACTATCTCTGTTTCTCTTCCCACATTCATTGAATCATTGTTAGTTCATATGGAAAAAAAAACAGATTTTCTCACTTGTATATGCAACCGTTCATTCTCTTCTATCTTCTTCTGTAGGTCTTCATCAAAGACACTCTTCTGCTCTTGGCTCAACTGAGAAGATTCCCCACTTTTCTGATGAAAAGAATAAGTTATGTCCACATAGCTTTCATCCTTTAGAGAAACATCCTAATGACACAGATTCTCTATCACCTTAGTAGCTTGTTTCTTCTATGTGATACTCCTGCAAAAGGTACACAGTTTATCATTGAACTTCTCCTGTGTGCTGTAAGTGGGGCTGCAAATATTGCAGTGGACAAGAAAGCTTTAAAAAGAAAGAGAAACAAACAGATCAGGCTTGCTGTTCTTCGCAGAGGAATTCAGGGACAGCTCTGCTGAAAGAGTATGCTAGCAGTACAAACATAGCAACACCTACCACTTCGATCTGATCTTTGAGTTTTGAGAAGTGAAAATTTTAGCAATTTATATGCTTGACTTGGTAAACTCCTTTTAGGAGACTGAGTAAATTACTTAACATTCACACATATTGGTTTAAGTAAGAGCTCACATAAATTCGTATGTTTTACAAAATCATCTGAAATGAAGATGTGAGGAGGAAAAAGCACAAAGATCGTAAAACAATTCCTTTTGCTTTATTCACCCAATACGAACATTTTCTTTTTTTTTCTCTTTGGGTCACACCCAGCGACGCTCAGGGATTGCTCCTGGCTCTGCACTCAGGAATTACTCCTGCGGTGCTTGGAAGACCATATGGGATGCTGGGAATCAAACCCGGGTGGGCCGCGTGCAAGGCAAACGCCCTCCCCGCTGTGCGATTGCTTAGCCCCCAAATGAACATTTTCTACACAACAGAATAGCACCATTTAAAGAGCCAATAATGAGTATTTGTTTTCCTGGGACAGCCCATAGTGAAGCTCTTCACACATCAGTCAGGACCCAGTGCCAGCTGTCTCACGCCTCACTTAGAATGATGTCACCTACTGACCCAGTGTGAACCAATGGCTTGAAAATCCTCTGAAAAGGGGTGATACAGTGGCTGAGTTACACAAACAGGTATAATAGCAACAGTAGTAATAAAAGAGCTACATAAAAATTAGGCATATTTAGAACACAAAAGAGCTGGAAGCTCTGATCACGTTCATTCTCATTCGAGACTGTCCCGTGGACTCTGCTCCAACAGCCAGCGCGAGGCTGCACTGACGGGTTGCAGGCCCGAGGCACAAGGGGTTACTCCTTCCCCAAGGGTCTTTGGGAACTTCCAGGACAGGTGAATCTTGACAAAATTTCCCAACTCATTCTACTATATAGATGCTTGCCCTCTCTGTTCCTCCTTTCTCTAAAGAATTCACTTTGGAATCCCTCTAATTGGCTAAAGAATCCCTCCACCTGGGGAAACACATGCACCAAGGCACGGAGACAGAATTATGTTGACTGCCCATCACATGGCAAATACTATCCTTCTTTATGATCTTATTTAATCCTCAAAATAAACCTGGACGTATAATTTTTATTTTGTCAATGGAAAACTGAGGTTGCTTGCATAGCTTAAAAAAATTGTTGAACATTAAAGAGGTATACAGGCCCAGAGGGACAGCACAGCGGGCAGGTGCTTCCCGTGCATGGGACCTACCAGGGTTCCATCCCCAGCACACCATATGGTCCTTCAAACATTGCCAAGAGCAAGCCCTGAATACAAAGCCAAAAACAAGCCCTGTCTACTGCAGGGTGTGGCCCCCAAAAGTACAAAAGTCAATGACCTATATATGACAAACAGAAAGTGAGAGCCTGGGCTATAACTCCGAAGCCTGTGAACTCCAAAGCAATCCAGGAGGCTTCAGACTGACTCGGGTCTTCATCCCATCTACCACCATCATCACGGCCTCGATTGACTAAACTGCAGGAAGCTGTTCTATGCACATGCAAGACTGCATCTCCAGCTCCTGTCATTCCCCTAGAAGAGAGCAATTTTTTTCTTTCAGGGTCGCAACTGATGGTACTCAGGGCTTAGTCCTGGCTCTGTGCTCGGAGATCACGCAGAAGCACCTACAGCTCTAGATGAGGACCAAACTGGGGCCAGCTGCATGCCAGGCGAGCACCTTACCCACTGGACTCTCTCTCCACCCCCCAGAAGCAACTTCTTAATCACAGAATGTTCAAAACCCAAGCATCTTGGAATGGTAAAAACACTGCCCCCCCCCTCTCTATATATATCCAAAAGGGGGGAGTTAGTTTTAAATCTCAGGAAAATGCCAAATTGAGGGGGCAGGGGCTGGAGGTGGCTCGGAGTACATGGGCACGAAGGTGATCCTGCAAGTGTACGGTGACAGGCTTGAATCTACAGAGTCCCCGTGTGCCAAGTGCAATCTTGATAACTCTGCTGTTCACAGTGGTACCCAAGCAAGGTGCAGGAGTGAAGCTCCTGGTGAGCACCACGATTAAAAGGAAGGGAGCAAAATGGCCAGAAGTGCGACCTCCCCGCCAAACCCAGGTCAGGGTATCACAGAACACCCCCCCCCCCCCCCCTGCAGCACCAACACCTTAACCTGCATGCCAAAACAAGTGCCATCAGTGAGCACAGGTGTGGACACCATGGGGCAAAGCTTAGAGAGCACCAGGGCCAAGGTGCAGGGCCCACACACCTGACGTGCATGCACTGCAGTCAGACACGTGTGTTGCACCGGGGAAAGTGAAGGAAAAGGGGAGGGAGGAACTGAAAAAAGAAGAAACTGCATGTGGCAGACTGTGAGCCAAGGGACTGAGTGCCTCTTTCCTCCTTCCTTTCTTTCGTGCAGTGCCATGAATCCCAGGCAAGGCCGCTGGACTCTCACTTGATCAGTGACTTCCTGACAACGTTTCTCATTTTATTTGTCCTGCCTCGGATAAATGGCAAATTGGTAGAACTGAAAGTTACTAATAATTGGACCAAGAAGAGATTTTTCTATCCTTTTCCCATTTATTTTTCAAAAACGAAAATGAAAAATTTTTTCTTTCTTTTTTTTCCCCCTTTTTTCCTTTTTAATTCAGACACTAAATCAGTTATGTGCATGTTGTCCCTAAACACTCCTTAAAACTCACTTTTTAAAATCACTTTTCTGATAAGAAAATACTTCAAGCATTTCGTATATATCAAGAATAAACATCTGCTCTCTTGGTTACGCCCAAATGTAAAAATGCAGGAGAACCAGGAGGATGCTTCTGCTTACACCAGGGGACACCTGCCCCCCACAGCAAGGGCATACTCATGCTTCCGCTCTCCTTACCCACCCTGCTCTTCTGTTTACTCCAGGGGACAGCTGTCCCTCATGGCAAGGGCACACTCTCCTTACCTACCTTGTTCTTCTTGCCCCGGGGCTCACTTAGGGCCAGTTCATCTTGAAGTAGTTCTACCCTCTTGGCCAGCTGCAGATTCCGAAAGGTCAAACTGTCCATTTCTTGTTGCAGTTTTCTCAGTGACTGATCCTTCATTTTAAGTTGTTCCTATAACAGAGTGAAAAGATTCCTTAAAATGTTATAAGGAGGCCAGAGCAACAGTACAGCAGGAAGGACGTTTGCCTTTCACGCGGCCGACCCAGGTTCGATTCCCAGAATCCCATATGGTCCCCCAAGAACCACAAGGAGTAATGCCTGAGTGCAGAGTCAGTAGTAACCCCTGTGCATTGTCAGGTGTGACCCAAAAAGAAAAAAAAATTTTATGAGAAGGGTTAAATAAACCCCAAATCATTTTTGTTTCACCAAAGTATAACCAATAGTTCTTGTTTGTTTTTATTTTGCTTTGTTTTTGTTTGGGGGACAGCCAGCAGTGCTCAAGGCTTATTTCTGATTCTAGGGACACTCCTGGCAGTGCTTAGGGGACCATATGCTATGTAGGGATCTAACCAGAGTTGGCCGCGTGCAAGGCAAGTAATAACCCTTGAATTATCTCTTCAGCCCTGTTCTTGCTTTAGGGAATTAAAGGTGGTCTATGAGTTCAAACCTATACGGCATCGCTCATATTCACGTGTATACTGCCTCAACAGCTATTTTACATCTTTCCTCTTCCTATATTTCGGTGTATGTTCATTTACTCACAGTCAGATATAATGTGCCAGCTGTTCAGAAATGTGCAAGTTATATTCTCCGACATCAGAGTGATAAAGGAACTTCTAGGATGATTTTTTAAAAATTTCTATGGAATTCCTTAAAATGGGCTGCAGCGATAGCTCGGTGGGTAGGGCATTTGCCTTGCACGCAGCCAACCCAGGTTCGATTCCTCCATCCCTCTCAGAGAGCCTGGCAAGCTACCGAAAGTACCCTGCCTTCAGGGCAAAGCCTGGCAAGCTACCCGTGGCGTATTCGATGTGCCAAAAATAGTAACAAGTCTCACAATGGAGACGTTATTGGTTACCGCTCGAGCAAATCAATGAACAGGAGGACAGAGCTACAGTACTATACATGTACATATATGGATGTAAATAAGTGTGTGTGTGTGTGTGTGTGTGTGTGTGTAGGCTTTGGGGACACAACCATCAGTGCTAAGAGTTCACTTTTGTTCTACACTCAGGGGTCAGTCTTGGCAGGTTCTGGGAACTATCTGAAATGCCAGGAATCAAACCCAGTTGGCTCATGCAAGGAGAGTGCCCTAGTCACTGTACTACTGCTCCAGTCCTGAGTTCTTGTATTTTCAGTTTTCTTGGTGACAAAATCATTTTTGACTAAGTTAATTGAAAGCTTAGTACCTGTACTACAAACCGTATCATCCAAAGGGAGAGAGAGAAGGTAAGAGGGAAGGTGCCTGCCACAGAGGCAGGGGGTGGGGAGTGGTGGGGGTGGTAGGAGGGATACTGAGGACATTGGTGGTGGAGAATGGGCACTGGTGGAGGGATGATACTCTATCATTGTATGACTGAAACGTAATCATAAAAGTTTATAAGTCTGTATCTCACGGTGATTCATTAAAAAAACAAAATAATTTTTAAAAAGATAGTAAAACATGTAAGACTGAAAAAATTAAAAAAAAAAAAAAGCAAAAAACAATCCATGCCCAGACACTCAGTAGACATCACATCTTAGCCCCTGTTTGCTCATTCAACCTTTCAGGCCACCACGGAACTCTGCTCACTGTCTCTGGATCCCTGAATCACGCAGCTGCATACGAGGCCACACAACAGTTCATCTCAGCATGCCTCACACTGCATACGTGTATCTCCCGTCACCAGATGAGGACTGGCAGGGAAGGAAAAGTGCAAAGCTGAGCCCCTCCCCCAGAGACTCTGAGGGTCCTGAGTACAGAGACTCATCCTCCAAGCACAGTGAACAAGGCAGGAAAGCCTCACGGAGGCCCACCATGCTTAACGAGTAAAAATAATGGCACGGAGGCCCCAGCAGTAGCGACCAGCTCTGGAAACTGTCAGAGAATGACTTCAGTAATGCCGTGCTGAAGGCCCTTCATGAGTACAGGTAGTCAACAGAAAGTATGAGAGCAGAAACAGAAAAACTGCAATTAAAAGGACAGGCATGAAGAGTATGGACAGTGACATTATAGAAGGGTGGGGCGACAGCACAGTGGCTAAAGCTCTTGGACATGGCCAATCCGGGTTCAATCCCCAGGACCACAGGATGTCCTGAGCCACCAGGAGTGATCCCTGAGCACAGAGCCAGGAGTAAGCCTTGAGCATGGCTGTGTGTGCCCTCTCCCTCTCCCCAAAAAAGACTCCAATAGAAGGTCAGAGCAACAGACTAAGAGCAGCTGAGAAAAACATTGGTAAACTCCAAAAGGAGAGGCAGGAAATCCCTAGAAAACAGCCAAGGATGAGGGCAAAGTCTGCATAGCAATGAAGAGCTGACAGCGAACTATGGGAAGAAAAAATAAGGATCACCTGTTTCTGAGGAGGAGGAAGACAAAGTCAATAAAAAAGCAGGAAAAAAGCAATCATGTAGCACTGCAGCACTGTCCTCCTGTTGTTCATCGATTTGCTCCAGCGGGCATCAGTAACGTCTCCATTGTGAAACTTGTTACTGTTTTTGGCATATTGAATGTGCTATGGGGAGCTTGCCATGCTCTGCCATGCAGAAGCTTGCCAGGCTCTCCAGGAGGGACAGAGAAATCGAACCCGGGTTGGCCATGTGCAAGGCAAACACCCTGCCCGCTGTGCTATCGCTCCAGCCCAAAATAAATCATAGACAACAATTTTCAAGCATTAAGGAGTGAGGAACCAGACCCAAGAAGCTTAAAGTGTCCCAGCAAAACAAAATGATCCAAATGGAAAATCTCCAAAATTCCCATCATGACAAAAGTCAGAGACAGAGACAGAATTCTGAAAGCAGCAAGAAAGAAAGGAACTTACATATAAAAGAACTCTCAACAGATTCACAACAGATCAAATGAGACACTATAGGCCAGAAGAGAAGTGTGGGATATAGTGAAAAAATAAATAAAATAAAACTCGATGAAATGAACACTCACCAAAAATACTCTATCCTGCTACATCACTGTCCGGATTTGAAGGAAAAACACAGACTCTCATGGGGAGACAATGGCTTAGGGAATTCATTGCCTTGAAATCAGTTTTGTAAGTGGCATTAAAGGAGCTTCTGAGGCCAACTAAGCTTGACAAACAAAAACATTAACACAGAAGGCTCAACTAGCAAGGCTCAATAGCTTAGTAAATCCTCAAGACAAGGACTTAATGACCCCATGGTGAGATGTACCACTGTAGCACTGTCCTCCCATTGTTCATCGATTTGCTCCAGCGGGCCAGTAACGTCTCCATTGTGAGACTTGTTACTGTGTTTGGCATATCGAATACATCACGGGGAGCTTGCGAGGCCATGTGGGCAAAAGCTCTTGGTAGCAATACATCACGGGGAGTCTGCTTGCCATGCGGGCGAAAAACTCTTGGTAGCTTGCTGGGCTCTCCAAGAGGGGCGGAGGAATCGAACCTCGGTTGGCCAGGCCGGCCGCGTGCAAGGCAAACACCTTACTGCTGGGCTATCGCTCCAGCCCTAGAGATATACCAACTTTCACAAATTTTCTTTTACTAAACTATTTTTTTTATAATTTCATTACCCATTTAGCTGTAACAAGCAATATAAAATAAATTATTGTGTGCCTGGCTAAGGGGGCAGGCTGGAGGGTTGGTGGGAAAATGGGGACAATGGTAGAGGGAAGGTCACTCAGGCGGTGGGATTGGAATTAAGCACTGAATAACGCCTGTGACAACTGTATTATACTCAACTTTGTAAACCATGGTGTTAAAATAAAGTAAAAATAATAATAATAATAAAGGAGTGTCTATAGAAGACCAAGCAAACTCCTCAGCACTTGCCACACTACAGCACTCAATCCTAGCACTTACGGTTGCCCTCTAGTAAATTAAGACATGTCTGTTCATTCCTAGGAGTTTATTCCTATAAACTTAGGAATTTTATACTTTTTCAATAATATATTCATGATTCATTTTTATTGAATGGTCTATGACTCTTCAGGTTATTTCTTTACATCTATATCTTTCTTCTACTTTTACTTATTAATGCATATACTCAAACTGTCACTGTCACTGTCACTGTCCTCCCACTGTTCATTGATTTGCTCGAGCGGGCCCAGTAACGTCTCCATTGGAGACTTTGTTGTTACTGTGTCTGGCATATCGAATACATCACAGGCAGCTTGCCAGGCTCTGCCATGCGGGCGAAATACTCTCAGTAGCTTGCCGAGCTCTCCGAGAGGTGTGGAGGAATCGAACCGGGTTGGTCGCATGCAAGGCAAACGCCCTACCTGCTGTGTTATCTCTCCAACTCTATGCTATCTCTTCAACTCAAACATTACCTGTAATAGTTTCTAACATAAAGCCATCATTTCCTTTTTAGGATAAAAAACACTTATGCATTTATAGGCCCTGTAGCACTGTCCTCCCATTGTTCATCTATTTGCTCGAGCAGGACCAGTAACATCTCCATTGTGAGACTCATTGTTACTGTGTTTGGCATATTGAATACGTCACGGGGAGCTTGCCAGGCTTTGTCGTGCGGGTGAGATACTCTCGGTAGCTTGCCAGGCTCTCCGAGAGGGCGGAGGAATGCGGAGGAATCGAACCCGGCTTGGCGGCCCGGCTCAGCCGGCCTGCCGCGCACAAGGCAAATGCCCTACTGCTGTGCTATCGCTCCAGCCCAGGCCCATAAATATTCTCCTTAAATTTTAAAAATTCTCCTCTCTTCACTCTTACTAAATTGCATGTTTGCAGGATTTATCTACTTCATGTAAACTTTGCAATGTATTAGCACAGTATGATGGTAAGCATTAGCATAGTATGAATAATAGATTAATTCATGCTATTAATGTTTAAAATTTATATACCTGCATAAAAGAAAGATAAAGTTTTTGAAAAAAATTTTATCAACTTATCATTGTTTTCTAACTTTATGGAATTTCAGAACTTCAGCTTAATTCATCAATATGTGTACAGAGGTCATCACCTCCACAGCCAAAAAAACAAAAAAGATCTCTCTCATACGTGGGATATAAAGAAACATAGTGCAAGGCTCAACTTCTAACACGTTAGTGATCTCTCATGGAAGGACTTAATGATCCCTGGATGGAATACAACAATCTTCACCCTGTTTCCTCTAAGGATACTTTTTTGTAGCATTTACATGGTTTTTCATAACAAACAATACAAAATATATTACTTCGCTTTGGCTTTGGGGCAGGGTTTGGGTTCGGGATGGAAACACCTGAAATATGGTGATGGGAAGGTGTAATGGTGGTGGGATTGGTGTTTGAGTATTAAATGTAATGAAATATTGTGAATTACTTTATAAAATTAAAAATATTTAAAAAATCACTGTTACTGTCCTCCCGTTGTTCATCGATTTGCTCGAGCGGGCCCAGTAACGTCTCCATTGTGACAACTGTTAATGTGTTTGGCATATCGAATACGACACGGGGAGCTTGCCAGGCTCCGCCGTGCGGGCAAGATACTCTCGGTAGCTTGCCGGGCTCTCCGAGAGGGACGGAGGAATCGAACTCGGGTCGGCCATGTGGGCTGCGTGCAAGGCAAACGCCCTACCACTGTGCTATCGCTCCAGCCCATTTAAAAAATAAAATTTAAAAAAATAAAGAAACTTAGTAAGGGAACAACAAAAGACTAAGAGAATCAGAAATGGAGATTTTATGTCTAAAGCTGAGCCTCCTCAGTGTGGGGTGGGTGGAAGGGACCTTGGGACACTGGTGGAGGGAAGCAGTCCTGGTGATGGGGGTGGCACCGGGACAAGGTATTCATGAAAAGTATCATTAGCAGCATTATGAATCACGGTATTCAATAAAAATGGCAAATAAATAAAATACCAAAAATGGAAAAGAAGTCATCAATTTAAAATACGCACAGCGGGACTGGAGCAAAACCACAGCGGGTAGGGTGTTTGCCTTGCCCGCGGCCAACCTGGGTTCAATTCCCAGCACCCCATATGGTCCCCTGAGTACCACCAGGAAAATGTAATGAATGTGATTCCTGAGTGCAGAGCCAGAAGTAACACCTGAGCATCACCAGGTGTGACCCAAAAAGAAAAAACAATGCGCAGCTCTTTGTTGCTAAAATCAATCCTGTTTAATACATGTTTGACAGTAAACAGACACAAGACAGCCGAAGCGACACCATCAGTGCTGGGGCCCCCGGGGAGTGAGGGTGGGAAACAGCACAAAATCACTTTCTCCGGAAGTTCTCCATGTTTGAGTCCATCAAAACAATGACTTTCAACACTTATTTTATAAATTATTTATGAATTATTCTGATTAGTTGGACCAGGAATGTGGCTCAGAGTAAACACCCAGGGCCCATGCATAGTATAGAAGCACCCGAATAAAAGTCAGATTTGCTGAAGATGAAAATAATCCTGTATTATCCTAATACAGGATTATTTTCTTTCAGAAACTGTTCTATACCAATCGACTTTAAGGTTAAGTAAAAACAGAAACAAAATTTAAAATCTAAACACACCTTCTCATGATGATTTTTTGCTGTTGCACCATTTTACTGACAGAGGGCTATATATTACTGTATATTTAAAGCAGTTTATTATTCACTGAAAAACCACCGTGAAGCTAAGAAGAGGTCAAGTGTACTGTATGGTGATTCGAGTACACCGGAACAGCAAAGTAAAACCCACAGGTTGGGGCCTGCAATCTACTGACACCATATGCCTGTGGAAAATAGCGTTAAAAGGTTAGAATGATGTGTTTACTTTAAATAGGAAAACTATTTATTTCTGTTATTTGTAGAAAGCTCTTAATTTTGACTTCATTTCAAAGGTAAATTTAAGCCTGCTCATGTCCAAACTGTCACACACTCAGAGAAATCAGTGAATATTCCCCATATCCAGCAACTCATTGGAGAGGGAAACCCAATATAGCCGAAAGCTCAGAGTAACAGAGGAGGGCCCAGTAGTCCCGGCAAGCAAACTGACAGGGTCATCCTTAACCCTAAGCGTAACGACCACTGCAATGAACCGTGAAACAAAAAGGAGTTCCTTTACGTCCTTATAATTAATCACAAGTTAACTGACATCTCGGCCCCACTAGTCAAACATCCATTTCAAAAGTTAACCATCCCAACCTCTCTTTAAATCTACTTTCAGCAACGAGATGACAATAAATCCTGACTGTCCTCCCAGAACAGTGAGGGCTCAAAGATGATGCTCCCAGGTGATGCTCAGCGAGTCTGCTCAGCAAAGGCAACCTGCTCTCACCACCACAGACATCGCTGCCAGCAACACGGGGACTCACACACGACCAGCATTGGCTGTGAAACACCACAGCCAGCCACTGAACAAGCAAGGGCAAAGCAGCACCACTACGCTGGCGGCAACGTTATCTGGGGAGAGAATGATCCGTGATTTATTTACTCAGAAGAGTGGCTTGACTTGTGAACCCTGACTGAACTTTTACTAATCCTGGTCTGGGCACAGTTTGGAAGGCTCGGGTAAAGTGCCCTGGACCACTTCTCCTGAATCTGGGGGAAGAATGTGCGCAGAGGGGACACACTTAAGGGACAAGTGAACAGCATATTTGTGGGTCATGGTTACCTGAGTGAAGCCACTGAAGGTATGTCACTGGCTGGGGGCTACTCCAGTCAGAGATGAGCCAGGGAGAGTGAAAGAATGAGGTACGCTGCATATTTAACTGAAAGTGGGCCAAGAAGCAATCTATAACCCAGAATTAATTCATCAAATCACACGATCACTGAGAAATTTATTGAATGTCTACCAGAATGAGTTCAAAACAAATTCCTTCATTTCTTATATTTCTCCCTTCCGTTCACAAAGGTACTGTTAGTCAAATCTATTATTCAGTGTTCACATCAGCACAGATTATTACTACTATTAATATTATTATTAAACCGTCCAACTCAAAAGCAAGATTAATTAGCTAAATAATTCTCACTTTCAAATCCAGTACTAGGAGACAACCATCTACTGAAGGCTGAGAACATAAATATGACACAGACCCACTCCAGTGAAGAAGAAGAGTAGAGAAATCCCAGTAACCCATATGAATTTAGCTAAATAGGAGCATTACACAAATTCAACTCTTTAATTTATTTATTTATTTTTTGCTTTTTGGGTCACAGGCGGTAATGCACAGGGGTTACTCCTGCCTCTGCACTCAGGAATTACCCCTGGCGGTGCTCAGGGGACCATATGGAATGCTGGGAATCGAACCTGGGTCAGCCACATGCAAGGCAAATGCCCTACCCTCTGTGCTATCGCCCCAGCCCCTCAAATTTTTTATTTTATTTTGGCTTTTGGGCCATATCCAGCAGTGCTCAGGGCTTACTCCTGGCTCTGCACTCAGAAATTACTCCTGGCAAACTCAGGGGACCATATGGGATGTCAGAAATGGAACACATTGCACTACCTCTCAAACCCCAAATTAAAAATTTTTTAAATAAATTTTAGCTAAGAAAATAAAAAAAAAACATTCTATACCTAAGCAAGTAGGAAAGTGACACACACACTCACAAACACACTATATTTCCTTCCTCTATCCTTAAATCAGTGTCAGAATTGGTACTTCAACCTAAGAAACCAGCTGAATTCCCTGCTTTAAACATTACCACTGATTTGGCTCTCAAGATAAATATCCTGTTACATACCTTTAAAGCAGCAGAATTTGCTTGTTCATCCATAACACCTTTTTTCAGGACCTGATTCTGAGCCCGAAGCTGAAAATAGAGAAAAAATTGTTTTTAATATAGCAATCACCTACAGAAATCACTACATAAGAACCATTACATAGAGTATCTTCTTACATAAATTCGAGAATAGAAATACTCGTCCCTAAATACATATAAAATAAAAATGTATAAAATGACAAAATATATGTCATTTTACAGATGAAGTCACAAAGAGGAAAAAACTGTCTCACAATGTAGAACTATCAACGGCAAATTGAACTAGAATCCTGATTCTTCGGCATGATTCCTTCTATGAAATAAAACCATCTCTCTAAATAAAAACACAAACAGGGACCGAGAGAAAGTATGGCAGGCAGGGTTACTGACACAGGCAGGCTGACACAGGTTTAACCTGCACATGGCCCCTGGGGTCTGCCAGGAGAGGTCTCGAGTGCAGAGCCAGGGGTAAGCCCTGAGCACCACGTGGGTTTGTCCCCAAGCCAAATGAAAATGAAAAAAAAATACAGAGCTGGGATGTAGCTGAGTATAGAGCAGTTGGCTTGCACCTGTGAGACCCAGATTTGATTCCGAGAATATATGTTCTCCTGAGCACCCCAAGAATGACCCGAGTCCCTAGCACCACCAAATACCAATCAAGGTCAGACAAAAATAATAAACACAAAAGCAGGAGGATGGTTCAGTGGCTTAAGGCAGATTTTCTCACCCAAGGGTCCTATGCCCCACATCAGGGGACCCTAGCATATGCCAAGGGGGCCACAGGTGAAAATCACATACATGAGGGGTACACCAGACAGGGGCCAATCAGGAAGCAAAGAGACAGGAAACGTTGAGAAACACTGGTTTAAAGCATTTGTGGCAAGCACGGGCCTTGACTTCAAAGCTGGTGTCTCCCACATGTGCCCAGGGGTCCCTCACAGCTGTTTGCGATCCTGAAAGACATCTCAGTAGCTCCAGAAGCATCGAGGGCAAGCACACGGTCAGCCGCGAAGCCCCGACTCTGGGCATGCGCTGAGGCAATCCTGACAGACCTCCAGTGAGGGAAAAAATAAATACAGTATAATAATAAAAAGTAGGGGGGCTGGAGCAATAGCACAGAGGGTAGGGCGTTTGCCTTGCACGTAGCCAACATGGCCGACACAGGTTCGATTCCCAGTGTCCCATATGGTCCCCTGAGTGCCGCCAGGAGCAATTCCTGAATGCATGAGCCAGGAGTAACCCCTGAGCATTGCCGGGTGTGACCCAAAAAGCAAAATAATAATAATAATAAAAAGTAGGATATTGAAATATGTCATTTTCCTCCAAACCATGGTACACAATCATATGTAAATAATTTGTAAAATACATTCCATTGTAAAATACACTCAACTGAACTAACTGCATGTCTGGAATCAGACAGAAAAGTAAAGCCCAGGCATCAATCTATCCGTGGGGGACACTGCTTAATACAAATCACGATGACAATGGTCTGGGGAAAATGCACAGAGAGGCCACGCCAGGTTGGAAATCAAATGGCAGTTGACTTCTGAACAATAATGTTCATTTTCCACCAAGCACTGTCTTAAGAACTTTGCAGGTGTTACCTCATTGATCTTCACAACCCGTGACGTAGATACTACCCATCACCCCACTTTACAGATGAATAAACAGAGCTACAGAGAAAGTCAGTGGCCTCACCCAGATAAGTCCCTAGCCCCTTTGGCTTCACACCTGATGCCATTAGACAGTATCAGCTACTATGTTACATTATATAGAAAGGAGAAAAGCTCGGACTACTGAGGTAGGGGGAAGCCTCTGAAGAGGACACAGGCTTTTCTCTTCCTAGTTTTCTAACTGAGATACAGCGAATCAAGAAACACACAGCTTGACCAATTTTTGCTTATGTATATATCTACTGAGCTACGACTGGCAGGGTTTTAAAATGAAAAAAATCCACTTTTTTAGTTAAGTGGAAAGTTTTCAACGAGGAGAAAACAGAGCACATAACAGTTCAACATGGCTAGAATAAGCTTCCATATCCAAACCAATACTCTGAGGCCTTTGTAGAGAGACCATGAAAAGTCACATTCTTCTCTAACAAACTGAACAAAGGGGACAATTTTATCTATGAGCTTATATATGTATGCAAATATGTGCAAATATGTATTTCTAATTTGCATAACTCAGATGTTTCTTAAAAACAGGAGGAGGTGGGAAACCCTTGTCAGCAGAATGTCCTTGACCCGGCGCCAGGCTATCTTCACCGGGGCACCTCAGAGGGGGGTGGGGTTGAGCTTTCCCCCCCACCTCAAGCAGAACCCCAGCAGCCGAAATCCTCCAGAACCCAACCACCGCTATGCTCAAGGCCACTCTCCACACGTTCGAACTAGCATCACCAAAGAGGGAACCAGCAGAAAAACCCAGGTATGTGGGAACCCTGTGACTCAATATGTGAGATCTCCAAGCCCGCTCAGATCGGGACTGGACCTCCTCCCCTCAGCTCCCCAGTTTTTCAGTAGCTTGGCAGTCACACCCAGAAACTTCCCCTGGTGCCATGTAATCTCATCAAAGCCAAGACCCAGAGACTAAAATAAAGCTCCCAGAAGAGAGCGCTGCAGAATTTTCTGGGGTGTGTGTGTGTGTGTGTGGCCACATTCGCTGCCCCATGACCTCTTATACTCTAGCCCACTTACTTACCAAAAGTAGCACACATTTGTTTGGTTTTAACATACTTGCTTGTATTCTCTTATATTTGGGCTTAAATGGCTCCAGAATGAAATACAACAAGCTTCATACACTTTCTCTTACTGTGGTGAAAAGGTCACACTAGTGGGATTGGTGTTTGAATATTACCTGTAAGGAACTACTGTCATTACAGCCACTGCAACTCTCCACATGCTCGGATGAGCCTCACGCACAAAGGAACCAACAGAAGAACCCAGGTGCGTGGATCCCGGGGTTGAGATCTCCAAGCCTGCTCAGATCAGGACTGGGCCTCCTCCACCCAGATCCCCCATTTTCTAGTAGCTAGGCAGTTACAACCACAAACTACCCCTGGTGCCATGAAATCCCATCAACGGCCAAGATCCAGAAACTATAAAACAAAGCTCCCGGAAGCGCACGGCTGCATTTGCGGCTGCATGACCTCTAATAGTCTAGTTCTCCTTCTCGGAAAACCCGGCAAGCTACTGAGAATATCCTGCCCGCACGGCAGAGCCTGGCAAGCTCCTGTGGCATATTCGATATGCCAAAAACAGTAACAATGATTTGTCTCATCCCCCTAACCCTGAAAGAGTTTCCAGTGTGGCACTGTTGGGAAGGACGAGTAAGGAGAGGCTGCTAAAATCTTAGGGCTAGGACAAATGCAGACGTTACTTGTGCCCACTCGAGCAAACTGATGAATAACGGGATGACAGTGATACAGTGGATGAACTACTGTAAACTACTTACATGAAAATAAAATAAATAAAAATTAAAAAACCCTTGTCAAATAGCTAGAATAGTTGAATAGTTCATCTTAATCTGGGTATGTGAAACTAAATAGAAAATGCTGATATTCAACATTTTCAGCAACAGACAGAGTAAAAACACAAGCATTTTCTATGTTTAGGAAATGAAGAATCCTAGCTCACTATCACGAGGGAGAAGACCCAAACGCTCCTTTCGCCTGACTGGGCAACAGAAACTTGGGAAATTCATTTAACTGTCTGAAGTCTGTTATCAAGTCTATAATCTGAGTATATACTTTCACCTCATCTTTCTTCTGGAAAAATCCAGATTATGAAATCCACGTTAAAGCTCTTTCAACTGTGAAGTGCTCCAGAGGAAACAGTGCCACTATTAGCAGCAGAGAAAGGATTAACCGATAACTTTATTACAGCCTGTGTAGAAGATGGCATTTGCTAGATCATATGGGGCAAGAAGAACTTAAAACTTTAAAAGAGGAGACAAAAGATAATAGCAATATAGTATTTTCTGCCTAAAAAGACAGTATAATCATAAATTCTCTAGACCAGGGTGCCGACCCATGGCCTGTAGGCCAAACTCAACCACCTTTTAAAGTTTTACTATCACACTGTTCATTGTCTGTGGTTGTGTTTGAGGCCCAATGGCAAAGATGGCATTTATTATCGGGCTCTTTACAGGGAAAGCATATAAAAAACCTTGCGTCTGAAGTCTGGAAGAAACAGAACTCTAAACTGATGAACACAATATGTTCATCAGGCAGTACGTTATGCTCTAAGCTATACAGGGTACAATGTGCTACGGGCTATCTATGTAACAAAATTCAAGAAACTGCTCCCAACCTACAGAGTCAAAAATCAGCAACGCTACTTCAGTCCTGAGCTTTCCTCTTAAATCCTTGCCCTGATTTTGGTCTATGATGTTTTCTCTGTGTTCTTCTTTAGAAGCACCTAATGTCTCGGGATCAAGTTTTCAGATCAAAGAACTGATCAGTTCCTATAGGATCATAGGACCAGAACCACAATTAAGGTAAGGTAAAGGCCCTCCCGTTGATCGTCGATTTGCTCAAGCGGGCCCAGTAACGTCTCCTTTGGAGACTTTGTTGTTACTGTGTCTGGCATATCGAATACTCTCGGTAGCTTGCCGGGCTCTCCGAGAGGGGCGGAGGATTCGAACTCGGGTCGGCCGCTTGTAAGGCGAACGCCCTACCCGCTGTGCTATCACTCCAGCCGAACCACAATAGTTGGGTGAAATGACAATTAAAAAAAAAAAAAAAACCTCAGGGGCTGGAGCAATAGCACAGCAGGTAGGGCAAATGCCTTGCATGCGGCTGACCCAGGTTTGATTCCCAGCATCCCATATGGTCCCCTGAGCACCGCCAGGAGTAATTCTTGAGGGCAGAGCCAAGAATAACCCCTGGGCATCGCTGGGTGTGACCCAAAAAGAAAAAAAAAAAACCTCAACGTTCCTTTTTCAGAGAGTTGAAGAGGAGGCGCTTCCAGAGCATCCAAGAACTCAGCAGAACCGGGGACACTGGCAGCGATTCTTGGCCAACGGGGGCCTTCAGTGCTTGGGTCTGAGGATCT